CGTTATCTTCAGACTTACGACTCGAACGTCAGTAGCGTAATGTCTGAAGCTATTAAATTGAAAATCATTGCCGCGCTAATAAAACTCAGATCGAACGGTACTTGGATTTCCTTGTGAACAGCATGAGAATTGTTTTTTAACGCCGCTTGATTTAGTCTGACAATGAAAAAAAAGCTTGTAGATTCGTGTTATATACATAATTACATCAAGAACATGACTTACATAATAATATTTAAAGTTATAGTATATTTATGATCGAAAACAAATTCAGTCTTCATACATTCATATTCAGATTTATTCAACTTAGCTCCCAATACATAGTTCCATTTAACTATAATAAACATTTATCTCATTATTTATATAGTACCAAGTGCAACAAACCATTGGGCGATAATTATATTTCGTGTGTATACTCGATGGTATCCCTTGCAACAACGATTTAAGATAACGACTGAACAAAGAAACGGTTAGCTTTATTGCTTAGCTCAGTCTAGACTACACTAGACCAGACCAGACCAGACTTACTTTAATGTTATGCTCAGTTTGTAATAATATTAATAAATTACCGTTGTATATTTACAATGTCTTACATAGTTTAAACCCATGGTTGTTTAAATAATGTTCATTGTACTAACGCCATATAAACACAATCATTATATATGTATGTATGTTCCTGTATCTATTTACCTAAAACTACTTATCCGGTCGTAAACGTACTAAAATAACACTAAGCCTTTATTTCATCTCTAATTATGTTATAAACGTTATCTTCAAAAAGATCTTTTCTCAATTTATCAAAAACAGCCATCCAATTTATCGTAGTTTATATAAATTGTAATTAGAACTAACTTTCAATGAAATGTATTTGTGAGAAAACAGACAAGTTTGAACCAAAAACGATTTAACATTCCTACCTAGAATTTGCCTTCAAAACTTTTAAAATGTGTACATAACTTTACCCTAATGTCTGTTAAAATGTAGACAAACAATAAAATTAATTCAAATGGTAACATTCAAATGTTATTTTGTAAGTTGCAGTTTAAGTAACCACACCTTCGCAAAAGCAATGTTTCACAACGATAAGTGGTTCAAACAAACACACACACACACACGCACACACATACACACACACACACACACATACATACACTGTGAATATTATGACCACAGACTAAGTATTTTAGAAATGCGTTCAAGAATAACTAAAGCGATGTTATTGTTTTTTAAAGCATGGTGTTATAAAATTAATTTTTTCTTTTGACTTTGGTTTTTTGTTCCGTTTAACCTAAAAAAAATTAAGTATGATTTAAGGTGTCAAGTGTATCTTAAATTAAATATTAAACCATTTCTTGTTGATATATAAAATGCCGTTCCATAGAGACGGCAAAATAATTTTTATATGTGTATAAACCTAAAATAAAAATATGTCATACAAAATGAGTAACATCATATGAATAAAACATCCATAGAAAATTAGGAAATGAAGTAACTATTAACCTTACGGCTTATAATATTTAATAACTTGATGTACCAATACTTTTACGGGCGTGTGAAATTTGTTCTCGTAAATCTATGTATGTAAACAAAGTTAAAAGTTATTTATATGTTGATACCGTGTTAAATACCAGTCGATAAAAACCCAGCGTGTCATAATAAATCACATGTTTTATAGACCTTATGAAATTGGTCTCTAATGGCGGGTAATCTTTCGTTTATATCCAGGCAATGATTTTAAACCTTATGCCATTGTAATAGGGATGTCGAATACAATGGAGGATCTATATTTTTCTGTACAAGTCAAGGTCGCTGGCAGGTTTCTTTTTTTAAAAATCGAATGTGAAACCGAGATGTCAAAACAGATTGTGATTGTACATAATGTTACGAAAATGATTTGAGATCGATTCGATTCCGTACATTCTTTACAAAACTACTGACTATAAAACATTGTTTCTTTTTATTATTACTTCACCGGAATGTACTATATTATTATTTGTGTTGCAAATTCAGTTTCTAATCGGACGTCAAACTGAAATTTTCACATAGATAACGATTTTTTTCTGGGTAGTAATGACAAACTTGACTAGGTACTCATTAAAATTTTCAAATATGGTAACTAGCAAAAAAGTCAGATTTCAAAAAAGATAATTTTTAATATTATAAATCCTTGTTTTATTCATAAAAGGAATAGTTTTTAAAGTAATAGTAAAATATATATTTTTTAAAATACGTAAAATTTAAAAAGCCTATGATCTAAAATGTAATGATTGTGAATTAATTATTAAATGTTAAATGCCTGCCATATTCAGGTCAAGGTGTATAACCTTGGAGGGAAATATTATAAAAGCATGGTATTAAAGAAATCCCGTGAAATCGTGCGCCATAAAAATATATTACAAATCGTTGAGTGCACAAGTTAATTGAAGTTGCGTTACTTGTAATGTATTATTTGAAAGGTTAAATTCGTAAATATAATTAACATAGCTATGTTACAGATCAATATTATATCTTTATATTGTGAAAATATTTATAAATAGTTAAAATGAAAGAACTGACACTATAGAAATTATTTACCACTTTATACATTGTTTAAAAAGAAAGTTTATTTTATTGTAACTTAATAGAAAAATACATAAATAAATTAATTTATATCTTCACTACAGATATATGTATTGAAAATATTCAAACGCGGAAGTCTCGTAATATAATATTAGCATATTATAATTCTGTTATGAAAGTTCAAACCTTGAATGTCCATTGAGCCGTGGGAAGGTAGTTCAGCAGCGCTATGTTATTCAGATAACGCATTGGATATCTTTGTTATTTAAATTATTTGTAATCGTGAGGTCATTGTATTAATGGGATCTGTAATTTCCACTGCGGACTCCATAATAGTGGTCGAACTAAAGTTAAGTTCTTGTTAGGGACTAAATGCCACACTGGTCGTACTATTGTGATTTGTGAATAATTCTAATCTGTATCTAATAATAAATAATATTAACGTATCTGTTTGTAATGTTATGTGGACAGCTTTGCATTTAATAGCATACGTAGAATAAATATGTATTTTATAATTATTTTGTTTGTTCCGACTAAGCTCTAGAACTTCTGGATCAGTAAAGGATTTTCAAATAAACGACTACTTTCAACATTGTTTTTTTTATCGAAAGCTCATTATTTATGGTTATTCCGTTATCACTTAGGTAAGTAAGATTTCACGAAGTTCTATGATATTGAATGAAACTTCATAAATAATCACGATAAATTGATTTAGTTACAAAAATACAATAATCGAATATACTTCTTGTTTATACATATAATTATAGAAATACTTATAGAATATAAAAATTAGTAACATATTAAACAAATTACGTACGGAGATTTTGATTTTATATCGATTGCAAAAAAATACAGCTAAACATACGTTTATAGCTAACAAAAAGATTATTTAGTTAAAGTCTTCAAATACAAAACGATTTGATCAACAAAAAATATATAAAAACGATACATTTTCTAACATCCAATTTAATTATTCAGACAATGTTATTTAATGAGTAACAAGATTATAAAGTTATGTATTCCCACGTAGCTACAAACATATTTTCTCATAATTATGGTGTTGATGTCACTTAATATTTATCGACTTATTGACCCCGTGAGTTGGTTCACGTATAAACAATAGTTATACATAATATTTACACCAATATATATGTATATAACTTATAGGTATATAAAATTCTCCGTGTCACAAATCCCGTACTCCTCCGAAACGGCTTGACAGATTTTCATGAAATTATGTAAGCATTGAGTAGGTCTGAGAATCGGTCAACATCTATTTTTAATACCTCTAAGTCATAAGGATTGTTCACTTCATTTATTTTTTTTCGGACCAAATTTTTTGTCTTTATTTTTTTATAATATGACATTAAAAAATATATATAACCCAAAATTTTAACTTTTTATCACCAACCCCTATTTTTATATGACAAAACAACCTTTGCTGGGTCAGCTAATATATATATATATATACAGGATGACTGGTGAATTACTATCGATATTTGAGGACGTGATATTTGACGATCATATATGACAAAATAAAAATTAATATAACGTAAATATTAATAAACTTCTAAGTAAAGTTAACCAAAAGTTATGTAATTAATTACGCATCGTATGAACACCCTACAGATTAGGTATACACACACACACACACACATACGCACGCATCCACACTTGGAACACTTGGAACGTGTACACACTTTATTTATTTATACGGAAATTTGGTCAAAAATTAAGTACCTATTTTTTTTACATAATTCGAATGAGAATCATGTACCGAGTATTCTCCTTAAATATTGATAGTAATTCACCAGTCACCCTATATATATAAGTTTTAACAATAAAAATAATCTATGTAACCCCAATTTCCATCATTAATCAGTGACTGTCCAGTGAGAGTGTTCCCATTCATCGATACGATACAAACATATATCTTAATCGATACATCAATCGATATCAAACATCGATCACTCGGTTAGCGCTTTTGTTTGAAAGTTAATTTGATTAATCCATTTATAATAAACAAGTATCACTCGCCGTCATTGGGAAACAAGGGGCTAGTCATGATTTTAATATATATTACCATTGATTACTATCAAAAAACATTATATAATAATCATGTAACTTATCAGTAAATTAATAACAAAAAAAACGTGTGAACGGACAGAACCATAATGTAAGTCAGTACAAAAACAATCAGTAATCTCATTCCGATCAAAATAAGTGAATCGTATAGGTCAATATCGATATTAACCGCAAATTACTCGATCAAGGTTATCTTAAAGGTTAGTTATACCACTCTTTGTTACAGATACAGCCGGCCAACGCCGAAACTGTTATTGAATTCGTGAAGTCGATTATAAGATGTGTTGAACACAGAAAACTCGCCTCGATCGTACCAGTTTGAATAATGAAAATGATTTTGAACGTCACTTGAAAACAAAATGGCACATAAAGTTAAAACGAATCACTACGTCGCTACTCATAGATCAGGGGTGGACTCACCGTCGTCTGGGGGATTTATACACAGAGCATCATCGAGGGATGAAAACGACAGCCACCGAGCACCCTCTGAAAGGACGCTATCGGAATACACGGTAATATATTTAAATTATCTATATTTCATACTAACAATGTGAGAAAATTTATGTCAGTGGTGGCCTAATGGTTAGAGGGCCCGCCTCTCGTTGCCGAGGGCGCGGGCTCGATCCTGGCCCGGGCAAGCACCAATGTGATTTTTCCGAGTTATGTACTTTCTAAGAATATTTAGACATGACTGATTAATGCTGACTCCCAAAAGAGGCGTAATGTCAGGCAGGCGGCCGGTCGTAAAAAAAATGAGCCAAAACTATTCACAACATGTAAGGCAGACCCTGGCCATGGCCGGGAAATTCCAGGTAGAAGAAGAAATGTGAGAAAATAGTTTATTTTGTTTAAAACATATCGGCCAAAAACTTACCTAAAGATTAAATTCTGTCACAACAATTTTAATAGCTTGTTTAGTATGAATGAAATTTAAAAAAAATCGATGTTTTTGTTTTCTATAAGACTTCCTGCAGTAGAAATATTTTACCGGATCACGAGAGTAATAAAAAATATGAATCAAAACAAACCCGACTGAGCCGAACGCTCTTAATTACTTTCCTACTGACATTAAAACTGAATAACTTTAATGCATAAAATCGTTTCCTTACCATAAATCATGGAATGCCCGCTCCAATAATCCCATTATTGATATTAATCAATAAATACACTATCAACAAAATATTTCTTACTTTACAAATTTATCGGTTGTTCCGCATAATTACCAAGACGATTCGATTGATTTTTTTACTATAGGAGCGGGAATAATCTAGGTCAATTTACATTCAGTCCAAAAAAATATCGAATAGAATATAGAAAAAACATTTTAGTAGTCGCCGGCAACTGCTGGCTATCGATAAAATTATCATAAGTTACTTATCTTAATATAATATCTTAATGTTAATAATTAAATTCGCTATTAGGTAACTTTAGTCAAGGCCTTACAAGAATATTTGCTTCATAAATTGTAAGAGATTTTGATAATTACAAAACATTAAATTGATTAATGGACCGAGATCGAACATCGATTTAATATACAGAATAATAATTCACAGTGAACTCGATACTGACATCGATTCACTTCAAAACATTGTTTATAGTTACTCGTTGAAACGTATTTGTAAATAATATTAATAAATCATAATATATTTTAAATGTACTGTTATGATAGATAGGTTTTCTAAAAATATGTAATAACATTGTAAAAATTAGTTATCTAAGATTATTTATGAAAAATTTATACTCTAGCCATGAATAATTTAATAGAAATTCAGTTTACGAAATTTGCTTTAAAAAAAACAAACATATCGAAATCGTCAATAACATCACGCGGTAACAGTAAATTATTTCTTGAATTATTAGCAAACGTTACATTGAACACCAAACAAACAAATTTATTTCTGAACGCATAAGACGCAGTTGAGGATTAAAATGGCGCGAAAACTGTTTACAACGTTATGAACACAGCGCATTGATGGATTAGTGTCGTGAGTGAATAGTGACGAATGACGCAAATGATAATATATAAACAGTTTAAATATAAAATTGTACATTCGAAAAGTAACAAATTAAATATTAATAAGGTTATTGAGTGCCAATTAAAATGGGATTAATTTTGTTGTGGCTCTAAAGTTTGGATAGAAACATGGGTGAATGAAAAAAAATAGTATACTAAGATTTTAACAAGTCAACAGTTCTCCTTTTATATGACCTAGTCATTATGAATAAAGCTTCAAAATATATTTGTTTTAATTATATTGCATAGGAAAATAAATAAAAGTATCGTTTAATTCGGGACAGTGTAATGTTTGGAACGCGTGTTATAAACTTGTCGAATGTGACGAGAAACGTTGCCTCATAACAAAGTTTATTGCGAATCAAACGATTGTTCTAAAACGGGTGCAATCAATTAATTCCAGATTTAGTGATTAATTGAAACAAAGAATTCCGTGCGGTGTTGTGAATTCCGTTGAATTTAATCCACCACAAATTTTGTATTCAATTGTAATACAGTTACGCAAGTAAGTCCAAATGACGATCTTTTTTAAAATATTATAAACGAAAAATTGTTCAAACAATATTTTATAATGTCTGATTATTTTAAAGAATTATATGACTATAGTTAATTAATAATTACAAGTTTTACAGTTTCGTAATATCCCAATTCTAATAATGTATAGCAATAATGATTGAAATTTTAAATCGACAAATGATTAAGGTTTAATGAATAAAAAAGTTTCATTGAATTTGAAATATTGTTGTTAATGTTTATTTCTAAATAATAATAAAAAGATATATTAATGTAAATTTTAACAACATACTCCCGGCTTCTCGTCTGCCCGTGATAACGGTTGCAGCAAAGGAACCGAACCCAAATCGTATTAAATACGAAAGCTTCTTCAACCTGGCAATTACCCAGCTTTTAGCCAGGGTCTGCCTTACATGTTGTGAATAGTTTTGACTATTCTTTTATGACCGGCCGCCTGCTTGACATCAACAATCTTTGGGAATAAATTAATCAGTGATGTTTGAATACTCTTAAAAAGTACATATGACTCGGAAAAATCACATTGGTACTTGCCAGGATCGAACCTGCGCCCTCGTGCTTGAGAAGCGGGCCTTTTAACATTAGGCCACCACTGACTTATTAAATACGAAAGCTATTAGTTTTATTTCACGATAAGAGTTTTAAAAATGTTTTCATAATCATATTTTCAGACGATAGACGAACGGAAACGCTCTCCCTCCGGCGAACATAGAAGTGGCAAGAGACACAATGGTTCACCACGAGACTCTGGCTCCGAGGTGTATGTCACCAGCGCCGCTTATAGACCACCCTCGGAGATCAGGTAACATATAGTGCCACTGACCACGAGATATAACACATATATATGTATGTATATAAAATTCTCCTATCACAATGTTCGTTCCCATACTCCACCGAAACGACTATAATTCTCATGAAATTTTGTAAGCATATTGAGTTAGCTTTCCGCCCGCAACTTCGCCCGCGTGGAGTTCGGTTATATCGCGTTTCCAAGAGAACTTTTCAGAAGTCTGGGATAAAAACTGTCCTATGTTTTTTCTCAAGGTCAACTCTATCTCTGTACCAAATTTCATTAAAATCAGTTCAGTGGTTAAGGCGTGAAAGCGTAACAGACAGACAGACAGAGTTACCTTCGCATTTATAATATTAGTAGAGATGTCTGAGAATCGGTCAACATCTATTTTTAATACCCCTAAGTAATAAGGGCTATTCACCCTTAATTCTTTTTTTTAATTTACATACGATTATTATTTTTTAGTTTTTTAGAATGTAGCATTAAAAAATGCATTGAACCTAAAATTTTTACTTTTTTTATCACCAACCCCTATTTTTTACGGCAAAACAACGTTTGCCGGTTCAGCTAGCTTCATTTACCTGCCTTACTTTTATTTAAGACTTTTTATACAATAAAATCATTTACATGTTCCATATACTTAATTTGCGATATATTTATGTTTATTTATCTACCTATAAGTATTATAAATAGCTAAACGTTCTCAATACAGTCATGTGTTGTGGTCGTAGGTAATGCTCAAAGGAACCGCTGTTCATTTAGCGTCTTATACTGAGATGATTCGTCTAATTCAAACCAACGGAGCCCCTAACGTGTTGAATACTCGTTCAATATACACGCTACACACGGGCGGTTGAAACGCTCGAAAAATAATAAAAATTAATATATGTATCTGTAGAACTATTAAAAGCATTTAGAAAGTAGTAAAATACACATAAAAAGATTAATGACGTTTTCATTTAAATGAATGAGTGTTTTTTATGCTATGGCTTCATTCTCACTGGAATCGTTTAATACTTCGCAATTGTCAATGTTTTTATTTGTTAGACAATCATTATATTAATTTAGTTAATTGACAATCAAGGATTGAATGATTTTAATTTATATCAAAAACTTCGTTATTATATCTGTCACTTGGGATTTTTCTTTTTTTATAAAATACAGTAGGTAAATATATTTTAATAAATACTTACAAAAAGTAATTTAGTCTTAACATTCCTACTTCTTGAATTAGTTATGAAAATCGGTTCATACTAGATATCTGAATTCTAATAAAACGCAGCGTTTCAACCGCCGGTTTGCTGTGACACAAAACAAAACCACATTATGGCTGGATTGATGGAAAATTGGCCATAAAGGAGATCGGTGCAGATGCAATCACTACACGCTGCATCCCGCGCTCGTGTTATTAGAGCGGGCAACGGTTCATGTGTTATATATATATAAATAGCAATTAATATATAGAGAACCATATATATGTGTGTGTGTATAAGAATTGAGTTCTAATAGTAAAAACAATATGAAAAAAAACTTAAAAGTTATTTTTTACGCATATTTTTGGGTGTATAAAATATTAATGCTCAATTTATGATGTTAAATAAGTCTTGTCTCGTAAACAATAGAAATTAGAAAGTAGGTACATATGTGTGTAATGTGACATAAAATAATTATTTTTATGAGACTATTACAAATTTAAAAAATCTTAATTCATATAAAACAAATAATAAGTTAATACTGAAATAAGGTTATCATATGAAAATTAAATATTAAATATAAAAATGTATTAACATAACAATCACATTCTCGTTATTCTAATTTACGTCATATAAAAAAAACATTTTAAATAAGTTTTCTTGTTTTATTATAAATAAATTCTTCTTCTACCTGGCAATTTCCCAGCTATAGCCAGGGTCTGCCTTATATGTTGTGAATAATTTGGGCTAATTGTTTTTACGACCGGCCGCCTGCCTGATATCAACCCTCTTTTTGGAAATCAACATTAATCAATCATGTCTAAATACTCTTAAAAAGTACATATGACTCGGAAAAGTCCCATTGGAACTTGCCCGGGCCAGGATCGAACCCGCGCCCTCGAATAGTTATTTATAAAAAATTATACATATATAACTATATTAAACTATTAATACTATAAATTAAATAATTATCTTGAATAGTCTACATACATATGTATGCGGGCCAGATAAAATGCCATATTCTTTATAGATTAAACATAGAGACAATCATCTAATAAGTTTTACATAAAATTCGTTTATAGACCAATGGAATTCAAATAGTGTATATTATAATGACAATGACTTTCCTAAATTCCTTCATTTCCGTTTCCCACTGTTGGTGACGTCATCAAGCTAACTGGTTTAAATAATCTACTATCCAATGGAAAATTGATAGTTTTTATGTGAATTCCACGTGACCGTGCAATTACAACTAGCTATGTACTTTACCGAAATTAAATCAATATTAAATACTAACTTTTGCTCGCGTTAGTTTCATCATAATAAATATATAGCTGAAAAGACGATCTGTTTCGATTTAGAGGCAGTAAATAAACAGATTTTTGATTATATTAACAACTTTTTTGGTCGCACGAAATCAAAAGTATACTATGTCCGTCTTCTTGTTCTAAGCAATCTTCGCACCAATTTTCAACCATATCCCTACAGTAATTCTTGAGTTATAAACACGGCTTTCTTTTATATATAGATATGATTAACAATACATATTAACAATTGAACTTGCAATATAAAATCCATGTTTTATTTATTTAAATTTCATTTAATAGAAATCGTCTTGTATTTGGTATTAAAGACTAAATTACATAATATATATAATAATATATTTGTTTTATTTCAACATATTTTGTTGAAAGTAATAAATTGTTATATACTACAATTAAATATATATACACACAATATATCATGTATAGGCAGACCCTGGCTAAAGCTGGGAGGTTGCCAGGAAGAAGTGTAGACCCTACTTTTATGAAGTCACATTAATATAAAACAATTTTAGAAATAATATTGATGTGTTTAAGAATCCACTTACTACATTCATTGATTCACAATAAAACGAGATTAAAATTAAGTTAAAAGTCCTTTAACACGTATTTTATGAATGTAAAAATATAAATAAAACATCACGATATTACAAGATAACTTATTACTAAATATATCGTTTAAGATTTTAATTCAATAAACTTCGTTTTATAATTACCAAGTCATTTCAATATAATCTTCTCAATCCACAGAATAACTTTTTTTCTACAATCAGAATATTGTCAGTCCACGGGTGACGAATCTGTAATTTACATGACACTGCGTGACAACGTCCTTGGGCAATTACCTTTATTAATTAATTGTAAATACAGATGATAAAAAAAAAATATTAATATAGCCGTCCTAATGAGGGTAATGGAAAACTGTTATCAAATTATTTCATTGTCAATAGTCCTTGATACGTATGCAAAATATAAAATTATTCAGACTTCTAGAAATCGTTGAAAATTAAGCTCAAAAATTCCTTTACATATGTACATACATACAACCCAAGAATTACCTTATTTATTAAAAAGCATATTAAAAATATAGAGACGATAAAAATGAATCCAGTATGGATGAAGCCTAACGTGAAAAAACATTTAGGGCTTATTACGGAAGCGGGAATATATTATATTAGTATATTGTAGTGTTCACAAATAATAAAATATCTCGTAAATTCTTTTAGAACATACAGTCAGAAAACTAACCAATAACAGCTCTGAGTGAAAAATATTACGTTTATATTGAATAGTTAAGAATTGTCTTAAAAATACCATTTTATACTTGCGTATTGAGCCGTTGGCAGAATTGCTTAAAAGTTTAATTTGACAAGCACGCGGGCTATTTTTTTTTAATAAAGCTCCTTTATCAATCAAAGGTTAAATATCAACCTATGAAACTGTTAAGTAATCCAAATATAATAAGTAGACAATGGCACAATTATAACTATGATACCTATTATTGTATTAGAATATTTTTATAAACAAAATAAAATATCTTTAAATCTTCCTCAAGACGAAAATCTTGGGCTTAGCTCCTTGTCACTTCTTGAAAGGAAGTTATTCAATATTAATATTACCCATTAATATGTATGTTATATGATTTGTAATCAGTAGAGTAAGTTGTGAAAACATCTTAAACGGTCTCAAATCTAAATTTGTTATTGTGGAAGAAACAAGCAAAAAATATATTAGTTATCTTGTTTTTGAAGGATTTAAGTCATTTTATAAATAAACCTCATTATAATAAGTTATTAGAATATAGTCTGGAGTTAAAGAAACAAAGAGAATAAAGTAGGAATTAAAATTGGTCCATTGCTTCAAAATTAAAATGGCATAATAAAAAACATGCTATGGCAGATACGTTACTTGGAAAAGATCCGACCGACTCGAAAACAATACGAATATACGATTATGAACGACTTCGGTTCTCAGCGATTTTCATACTAAAAATGCAAAACTCTAGAAGAAAAACATAATTAACATAACAAATACATATTTTGTTCTATTCCAGTATATTTAGTTCTTCAATAAAAATCACGAATATGTCGACTCGTTTCAGTAACGCTACTAACATATACGATATAAAATATATTTTTAAAACGATCGAGATTTCATACACGAAATAACAATAAAAATACGTTAAAATTGAATCCAAACAATTATAAATTATCATTACTAGTAACGTAATATTAGTATGTAAGAAGTTATGAATCATTTTATATTACTATAATTATTGTAGTATATAATGTATGTATGTTTGTATGTTCAGTCGTCAGTCGCGCGCCCCCCGCAGCGTGTACTCGTACCGTAGCGCAGTGGCGCCCTCTCTCGCCTCCACACACCGCTCCAAGGTGTCCAGGAAGGTAAATATACTTTACATACAAAATAGTCTTTCCTAACATATATTAACATATATTCTAACAATTCAAAATAAATTTGTAATATTTGTATTCTAAATCTTCTACCTGGCAATATCCCAGCTTTAGCCAGGGTGTGCTTTTCTTGTTGTGAATAGTTTAGGCTAATTGTTTTTACGACCGGCCGCCTGCCTGATATCAACCCTCTTTGGGAATGTATTAATCAATGTCTAAATACTCTTACAAAGTAGATATGACTCGGAAAAATCACATTGGTACTTGCTAGGATTGAACCCGCGTCCTCGTGCAGGAGAGGCGGGTCTGTTAACCACTGGGCCACCACTGACTGAATTTTGTATACTAAATGTAATGTTAAAATTAAACTTTTGATAATTAAACGTTAAAGGCCCGCCTCTTTTGCACGAGGGTGCGGGTTCGAAACGTGCCTAGTAGCTTCTTCCGAGTCGTATGTACTTTCTAAGAGTATTTAGACATCACTGACAGATGAAGGAAAACATCGTGAGGAAACCTGGACTTATAATTTCCAATTATAAGTTTGAAATCGTCAACCCGTCTTGAGCAAGTTTAGTTAATGCTCAAACCTTGTCCATGTGAGACGAGGCAGCTCAGCAGTGATCTGATAGGTTGATGATGATGATGTATGTATGTATGTATGTTCCAGGCGGGTGTTCGTGTGGAGGCCATGTCAGCTCCCAACCCTTTCTGCCCCAACGTGAAGGGCATGTGTTGTCTGATGCTGCTCCTCAACCTTGGCCTCATACTCGTAACGCTAGGGTTCGTCATCGTGTTACAATTCTTTGAACCTCTATTCGTTTGGTGAGTTAATAAAATATTCCTATATATTAAGTGTTAGTTTCCCCCTGAACCGCGCTTTGAAATTAATTAACCCGGTTCTTACAACCCATTCGCGTGTCTAATCGATTGAGCTGCAAAAACTATATCACAAAAGCCGATTAATCATATAAATAGCTTCCCACGTGAAATGTGGGTCACTACTCGGTCTGCACTCGACGGCCCAATAACACACAATGGAGGCTTCGGAGGACATTAAAAAACAATTTACATTTTAAAATAGTCCGCACAAAACGGTAAAAGTCATTTTGATGGCACATTCGGTTGAATCTTTTTGATAGAACCTTTCTCAAAAACACGATTGTGTTCAACACATTACTAGTTTTCGTACAACAATAATTTTGACTGTAGAAAGTATTTTACCAAACATTAATTCTCAAGTGAATATAATGAATACTAGAAGACCCGGCGAACTTCGTGTCGCCCTATGAGAAAGAAATATCTGTCACTTTTTTTGTTTATATTTTTGGAGTTTACCTATTAAAGCCATAAATCTCCTTGTTTTGAAGTGCGACAGAATGATTGACATATTAGTTAATTGTCAAATCTAAAGTAAAAAAAAAACGTTTGTATCAACAACTACTAATAAATTAAAAATTAATTAAAAAAACATTGTCCAGCGGACAAAATTGTGAATCTAAACAATTCCCAGATCCCCTTGAACACTCACAAAAAATTTCATCAAAATCGGTCCAAACGTTTGAGAGAAGTTCAGTGACATACACACTCACAGAAGAAATATATATATAAATATTTGATGAACTCATACAAGTAATATGTTTCAGGATCCTAGGCATAGTGTTCCTCATCTTCGGTTTCATCACGCTGGTGGGTAGTCTTATATACTGCGTAGTTTTATGTAGAGAGAACCCTTACCCGCGTTACCCAGACCACTTCTATTGGACCCATCACTGGTCAAAAACCATCGGGCCTTCGGAGATACACTACACCAGTGAGAAGCCTTACAGACAGACGGACAACAGATATAATAAATATAACGGGAAGTATTCAGACAGAGAGAGCGCTAAAGGATACTCGGATAGGGAGAGCAAACTCAGCCGATACTAGTAATTAGTATCTGAACGATGAAAATGACAGTATTTATGACGTATTGAAATGATTTTGACAGTCATTTTGACAGCTGCTATTGCATCGACATATACTAAATGACATGTCTTGAGATGAGAATTGTGGCACTCCGAAAGAAAGAGAGGAAACTAAGTTTCGGTCTATCTTTATCTCTGTCAAAATAGTACCGTTATGAGCCCCTTCTGGATAATTTATATGCCGTGCTTGTCATGAATTTGAGCGCCAATCATCTATGAAGAAAGAGATAGTGCTACACCGAAAGCATAGGCCATCTCTCTCACTCTTTTTCAAACCAAAAAATTATTGCAAATTATACGCGTACGGCATGTCCATTAGTATATGTCGATGAGTTATTGAATATAATTTTGACATTGGAAAAATTTTCGCGATTCTATGACGAATGAAGCTAAAGATAAAATATATATATTTTTTAAATGTTATTGTGTTGTCTGTATACAAGTTTATATTTAAAATGTTTTTACAATTACCACGACGACAGTCTGTATAGAAATCTCCAACGATGTTTAAAATAAAATTAATATAAGATCTGATTAAATATATATTTTTAGTTAGTGATCTTTTTTTATTTTATTTTCTAATTAACATAGTAATATTTAACCTAAGCGTGTATTTATAACAATTTTTGTAAATAATATTTTAAGGTTTTGCCATATTAATTTACCTGTAATTGAATATAAGGGAAATGAGATTGATGACGTCAGATTAAAATTTTTATTAATATATTTTCATTATATTTGTTGTAATGTAACGCTGTATAATTTATATATGTAATAAATGAATTTTATACTAAATAAAGTCGTTTTATATTCTAGTTCACAGTACTCAGAGTTATATGTACTTGTCACAAGATATTGCTGTATGGGTATTAAGGTATTCTTAGATAATTATAAAGCGAATGAAATAATTCACAAAAGGTAAATCCCTTTTCCTCTTTTCTTATTATAGTGTCAGTTTTATGCCTCCATTATATGTAAAAGTCCCAAAACTCTTAGGGAGCTTAATACAATCTATTATTATCATCTAAATCATTGAGATTTCTCTTTATTTGGTACTAGCTTTTGGCGCGACTTCGTCCGCATGGAATAGTGACTTCCGGCAGATTTTTGGTTCTTCCCACATAGTTCCCGTTCTTGTGGGGTTTTCGGAATGGTCGAGTTCCCGTAGAATTTTCAGGATAAAACCTGTGTTTTTTTTATTCACAATGAAGTACTCTTAACCAAAAACATATTTATTTGTTTATTTCAATAAAGATTAATATTATCATGTTGATACATCTTAAACAAATTATTTCGACCAAATTAGGTACCATAAAAACGGATTTTGTGAGTTAATCTTAAAAGATAGACTGTCGCGGACTGTTTTTTAGATCATTAGAAGAGCTATTATTCTTAAATACATATTTTTTGTGTATCTTAAACCGTTTTCACAGCGCACGCAACGGAAGGCTTCAAAGATGAAATAATTTCTCCCGTTTTTTACACATTTATCACTATATCTTTGCTCCTATTGGTCGTAGGTTGATGTTATATAGCCTACAGCCTTCCTCGATAACTGAACTATCCAATACAAAAAGAATTATTCAATTCGAACCAGTAGTTTCGGAGATTAGCGCTTTCAAAGAAACAAACAAACAAACTCTTCAGCTTTATAATATTAGCATAGATTTCTTTTTCCTGTCAATTATAATCGAAAAACGATAAATAAACCATAACAATTGAATTCTAATTACATAAGTACTGAAAATTTTGTCAATAAGCAGCATTTTCGTCATATTTTACTTTTTTACTTCAGAAAAGGTAAAAATGCTATCCAAGAGAGAAAAAATTTACGGATATGTATGAAGAAGGCGTGTTAACAGTACGCCAGTGCCAGAACTGATTTGCAAAATTTCGATCCGGCAATTTTGATGTCGAAGATGCACCACGGTCTGGAAGGCCGGTCGAAGCTGACAAAGATACGATAAAGGCATTAGTTGATGCAAATCGGTGAATAACCACACGAGAGATCGGTGAGAGATTAAATTTGTCGAATTCGACTGTTTATGGCCATTTGAAAGGCATGGGCTTAACCCTGAAGCTCGATGTGTGGGTGCCCCATGTCCTTACGGAGCGAAGTGTGTCGTCGCGTTGACGCGTGTGATTCGCTCCTCGAACGTCAAGAAAATGATCCATTTTATAAGCGGATTATCGCTGGAGACGAAAAATGGGTTGTATACAACAATGTTAAACGCAAGAGGTCATGGAGCAGAAAAGATGAACCGGCTCAAAGCGTGTCAAAAGCCAACATTCACCAAGAAAAGGTGATACTCTTATTTTGGTGGGATGTCAAAGGAATCGTTTTTTTTTTGAGCTTTGGCCGGACAATACAACGAATAATTCAGAAGTCTATTGTCATCAGCTGGACAAATTGAATGATTCACTTAAAGCGAAGACTATCTCGGGCCGAGTTAATCAACAGGAAGGCTGTAGTGTTACACCAGGAAAATGCGAGACACAAGTTTGGTCACTCGCCAAAAACTTTTACAGCTTGAACGGGACGTATTGCAACATCCACCTTACTCTCCAGATCTGGCGCCTTCCGACTACTATTTGTTCCGGTCCCTGCAAAATTTTTTGGATGGCAAAACCTTTACCACAAATGAAGATGTCAAAAATCACCTGAACCAGTTTTTTGCCAGCCAGGACCAAAACTTTTATGAGAGGGGAATTATGTTACTGCCAGAAAGATGGCAAAAGGTGTTGGTCCAGAATGGCCAATATATAATTTAATAAAATATTTATTCATTATACGAAAACTGTCTTTCATGTTCCCCAAAAAAAACGAAATGACGTTCCGAACAACCCAATACAATAGAGAAACTAAAAACAAAATTCACGCATATTCGTTCAATATGTCAAAAAATAAAAAAATATTAATGGTATATGACGATACAATTATTATACAAAAATACTACATGAGGTGTAGATGAGATATGTAAACATATTGTATTAAATATAAATTAAGCAATATTTTTTTAATAAACATATTTTAAATTCACTTTTTATTGTAATATTTTAAATTATATTCATATATTATGTTATACAAGAAATTATTATTATTAAGAAACTAAATTTTTGTTTTTCGTACGTAATATAATTGATAGAAGTCACAAGATTTTAAATGAAATCAAATAATTCTCGAAAAGTTCCAAAATAAATCTCATTTCACATGTCGCGCTGTTGTAGCACGTATCTACACACATGTATATTTCTCATACTACGAAATAGTGTTTTTGATGTTAACTGCGGCGATAAAATATCGTTCACAATATTTGTCTCTATGAACATAACAATATACATTGCATATTATTATAACTCCTTCATGTTTTTTATACGTCTGTCATCTGTGTATAGCACACACTATAAGTATTGTAACTGAAACTGTGTATAGTTTTGACGGTTTATTTCCACTTTTTTGTTTATTTATTTAACACCTTTTCGGGTACAATAAAATAAATTTCCTTGTAAAAGTATAATTTATTTACAAATTACAATATTATAATTACGACAATCTTCGCGTAAAAAAATTATAATGACAGAATAAAGTAACAAATAATATTATATTCATAAACGTTAATTGACAACAAAATATTTCATTCTATTAATAATATGGAATGAGAATTGTTTAATGTCAAAAAAAATATCGAATGAGATACATTGTATTACATGTAACAGAAATAAATACTACAAGAACGCCGTTTATAAAGAATTGACTGGGATTAAAAGAAAAAGGAAAACTAATGAAAAACAACACAAACAAGGAACAAAAATGAAAAGAAAGTTATTATATAAAATTTAGAATTATTTACACTTGTCTAAAGTAATAAGTTAGTGTAAATAATAACGTCACTTGAGCCGCACGTACCAGACGTTACACTTCACTATACATTACATATATTTCATAATTCATGAAACAAACGCGTCTTAATGATAAGTTAATAAGAAAATAAAAGATCATATAACGTTGTATTAAAACAAGATATACAACCCGCGGACAGTCACCGTTAATATGTACCAGTGAAGGTTCACTTTAGAAAAACTTACAAAATATTAATATTAAAATACTTGTCAGAAGTTCTTACAGCTAGCCGTATATTTACAGTTCGTCTTATACAACAGTATATAGATCCATGATCTATAGATCATTATAGATCGCTGTCTGATCCGTCGCTGAACCGGTACACCTTGTCCCTATTTCTGCCGCGCGTCACTTCTTCACTCGAGCTGTCTGAGTCGGCTTTCTTTTGTTTTTTCTTCGGGTTAGCCTTCTTCTTTGTCTGTTGGCCAAGAAACAGAATTATAACAAAACTAATAATAGAGTGAGAAAAATAATTAACGCACTTTATTATATATACATTTCTACACAGGAGGCTTGTGGGTTAACTATACGCAGAAAGCTATGGACACATTAAGAATCCAATATAATAACGGGTTTAGGGTGCTGTTGAGCTTGCCGCGGTTTTGTCCAGCGTCAAGTATGTTTGCACAAGAGCGTACAGATGATTTTTATGCTATTATAAGAAAAGAGACCTCATCTCTTTTAACAAGACTGCGGTCAAACACCAATAGTATACTAAAAGTACTCACAAGTAAATTTGACGCCAAATACTTCAACATTATATAAATATACTTCTTAGGAGATAGTATAATTGATTGTAACTCCTAACATTAATTATGTGATATCCGTTTGGTGTGTAGAGCTATCTTGTTAATTTTAATTCAGAATATGCTGTTAATTTAGACATTATTATTAGACTAACATAGCTTTATAAGTAGAAAAAATACTAACAAGTGGGCCTATGTTGCACAAATAAAGAAGTTATTATTATTATGTTAGATTTTAAAATATTTATAAATATATATTATAAATATTTTCAACTGAACTTCAAAGGACTTCAAATGTTAAAATCCTTTTCTTACATGTTCCACAACCAAAATACTTATTAATTTTGGCAATAACTGTATAAAGCAATATATATAAAGCAATTTTCCTACAAGAACCCCTACAGAGTATATTATCAAGTAGTATATATATGTATATAGTAACCTTCTTAGTCTCAAACACATCCTCCTCCCCGTCAGTACTTTGACTCAACACCACTTTAGCAGGTCTCTTCCTCGCTTTAGGTTTATCTTTCTCAACATTCATCAACTTCCTCTTGATCTGTTTTTTCTTGGGAGCTGTTTCTTGAACAGTTTCTTCGTCACTCGACAGTACCGTCGTTACTATAGGCTCATTACTTTTGGCGGATTCTTCCTTTTTAGTGTCTTCGATCAACGAATCGAATAGACAATCTGTGAAATTGATTAATTTATTAATACACATCGAATTAATGGGATTTGATGCGGAATAAATATTAAAATTTGAGTGTATCAAATCAAATAACTACAAAATAAGACAAGTCACCCATTCCATTAGAACTATTTTTTTTTTCATATTTTATTTTCGCTTGAAGCTTTTGTGCCTTTTTTTCTTTTACCACAGTAAACATATAAACAAGTACTTTAGATAAGTACCAAGTAGAAGTAAATATGAAGTATAACACTTTCTAGTATTAATTCTTACCCCATAGTAAACATATAATCAAATACTTTAGATAAGTACCAAGTATAAATAAGTATGGAGTATAACACTTTCTAGTATTATTTCTTACACCACTGTAAACATAAAATCAAGTAGGGGATATATAAGTATTAATTATAAGTATTAAGTACTAGCTTTCCGCCCGCAGCTTTGCCCGCGTGGAGGTCGGTTATATCGCATTTCTAAGAGAACCTTTCAATAGCCTGGGATAAAAACTATCCTATGTTCTTTCTAATGTCAACTAAATCTCTGTAGCAAATTTCGTTAAAATCAGTTCATAACATCAATTCAGTGTTTTAGGCCTGCAAGGGTAACAGACAGACAGACAGAGTTACTTTCGCATTTATAATATTAGTAGGGATAAGTATCATTATACCGGAGTCCATTTCAGCGGGTTTCTTATTATTCTTCTTCACATGTAAGTCATCATCAGTCATCGGTTCAGGCTCGTCTCTGTCAGAGTCTATCTTGTTGTCCAACAACTCCGGTTCTGAGTCAGAAGACTCGTCTGAACCATCCTTGTACTTTTGTACCTGATATAAAAATATATATTAATTTATTATAATTATACTTGTTACATTTATATCATCTAAATAAGGTGTACAAAATATTTATTTAATTTTAAAACCATCGAAATATGTGAAAACGTATTTCTCTTGTTATTTAATAAGCAAATCATTTTATACTTCTTTATATAAATATAATATAGCTGTTGTTTCTTTTTTCAATTCATCTATAAAACACGTATAATATTGTAAATTGCATACAAAAATAAAATACAACAATATTTCATTTTAAAATCTTAAATATGCTAATTTCTGATATAGGATCTAACATTGACATCAGCTTCTATTATAAATCTATGATTATTTTTAAATTAACTTTAAGATAACCAGTAAGAGTGACTATGAATAATCTTAAATGCATAATGTATGTATATTTATCACTCCCACGGTCAGTCAGAGTCAGTGGTGGCCTAGTGGTTAAAAGGCTCGCCTCTCATGCATGAGGGCGCGGGTTCGATCCTGGTAAGTACCAATGTGATTTTTCCGAGTCATATGTACTTTCTAAGAGTATTTAGACATCATTGATTAATGCATTCCCAAAGAGGGTTGATGTCATGTGGCCGGTCGTAAAAACAATTAGCCTAAACTATTCACAACATGTAAGACAGACCCTGGCTAAAGCTGGTAAATTGCCAGGTAGAATATTTATCCCCCACCTTAGTAGCAGCTCTCCTCACGACGGTTCTCTCCCTGGGCGCGGGCGCGCTAGTCATCTCCACGTCTGAAGTCACCGACATTTCGTCCGAACTGTCATTACTGAGAACTGCCTTCTTCTGGAAAATTAAAACATTAAATTAATATATGAGAAGCAAATCGCATAATTATTATAAAATTCATACATTGAGCTAATACTCGATTAACTCATACAATAAAAACTCATTGACATGAACATGATTTGAATGTAAATGAAATATTAATTTGAATATATGGAAATCAAATTTAAATCATAACATATAGAACCTGTCGAGTGTATATGTAAACAAGGAATATATTACCGTGTTCACCTTATATAATATACATATATATATTGATAACATAAATATACTGTAAAACATTTATGTAGCTTTATTTTTAGGTTGTAACCAGCTTATTATAATTTATAACATTTTTCGTTTAAATTACTTTAATCAGGATTGGAGATTCAAGATTATATGTATGAAATAATTTAGTAAGTGAAATATGGCAGACCCTGGCTAAAGCTGGGAGATCGCCAGGAAGAAGAAGAATTTGATAATAGTGAAATTATTATTATATTTTCAGTACAACAATAATCATATAACATCCAACCTTCTTAGGTTCCTTCTTGAACGTTAACTTAGTTTGTTTGAGTCCCTCTTTATCTGTTTTCTCTGTTTTCTCCTGTTTTTCCTTCTTCGCTCGTCCTTTGGGTTTCTTTTCTCCGCTGGCTGGACTAACACCGGTCGGATCATCCTGATAATATTAAACACTCATATAATTAGTCATCCTACTAATATTATAATTACGAAAGTTTGTGAGTGTGTGTGTATGTTTGTTACTTCTTCACGCTCAAACGGCTGAACAGGTTTTGATAAAATTTTGTATACAGGAAGCTGACGTCCAGGAATAACATATAAGCTACTTTACATCCCGGAAAATGTTCGACTTTTCCTCTTATAAGCGAAAACCCATATTTACTTACTCGAGAACTCAACTCTTAGCCAAAACGACATTATCGCTATGTACCTTTTACCTTTCTATGTAGGCACGATCGACAGCCAATAAGCATTCTTTTCGTTATAAAAAAAAGAGTTATGATAGCCAATATCTATAGACAACAGTTTCTTTCTGTAGTTAATTTGTTAAATACTGCCAAATTATTCATGTTAACGTAATTGTTAATTTTTATAACATTTCTGTTGTTTTGTAGTTGTTGGGTATTGCCCCATGTGTGGGCTTTCTTTTATAATATATTACTATTGCCAAAATTAACGCGAACGAAGTCGCGGGCAAATCTATATAGTAATATACAGGGTGACTGGTGAATTACTATCGATACTTGAGGACGTGATATTTGACGATCATATATGACAAAATAAAAATTAATATAACATAAATATTAATAAACTTCTAAGTAAACTTAACCAAAAGTTATGAAATTAATTACGCATTGTGTGAACACCCTACAGATTAGGTATACACACACACTCACACACACGCGGCGGGGGCGTAGTTTTGTAACAGCACGCCGCCGCACGCGTCCACACTTGGAACACTTAGAACGTGTCAACACTTTATTTATTTATACGGAAATTTGGGCAAAAATTAAGTATCCATTTTTTTTACATAATTCTAATGAGAATCATGTACCGAGTATACTCCTTAAATATTGATAGTAATTCACCAGTCACCCTGTATATCCGTGACGGGCAATTTAATATGTTTGGACATTTATAATGGCTGGTCTGTGTTCATAAAGCCTGACTCAATTGGACAATGTTAGTAAAACCATGATTAATAACCGCTTTTTACTATCTTGAGAAAAGTAATAAAATAGGGGAACTGTAGGATTCTTGTTGAATAAATATTGCCCATTTTGATTCCGATAATAATGTTACCTAACGAAAATAGTTTAAAAATTTGTGAACCGAGAAAAAAATTCTTTAAAGTCTAATTTGCACGTAAATCTTATTTTCAGATATTCTTTCTCATATTTCCTTTTTTTGTTAATGATTCGGTATTGTTTTCAGATTATAAAGCTATATTTGAAAACAAACTTTCATCATAGTATGTAAATACAATTTAGGTAGAAGTACTTCGTTCAGTTTGCGATCCGGATAGCAACTTTGGTATATAAGAACGTTTTCTGAGTAACGACAAAGTTTTTAACCACTGATTCACCGTCAAAATTGACATTCGAACAAGGTTATCACTTTCAAACAGAAATACCTACACGAAATGTGTGATGCAAATGACGGTACGTATAACTAAATGTCCCTACGAACAACACAAGTCTTCTTGTAAGAACCTCCTACGTACTAAAGGTGAGCCCTATTTTAAGAAACCTTGAGTTAGAACAACTGTAACGCTATTTCTTGTCAGTCAAAATTTGAATCTTGTCAACGTCTTTCATTTTCTTCTACTAACTCTAAATGCTCTATATATACAGGGTGACTGGTGAATTACTATCAATATTTAAGGAGCATACTCGGTACATGATTCTCATTCGAATTATGTAAAAAAAATAGGTACTTAATTTTTGACAAAATTTCCGTATAAATAAATAAAGTGTGTACACGTTCCAACTGTTCCAAGTGTGGACGCGTGCGGCGGCGTGCTGATACAACAACACGCCGCAGCGCGAGTGTGTGTGTGTGTATACCTAATCTGTAGGGTGTTCACACGATGCGTAATTAATTAGATAACTTTTGGTTAACTTAGAAGTTTATTAATATTTATGTTATATTAATTTTTATTTTGTCATATATGATCGTCAAATATCACGTCCTCAAGTATCGATAGTAATTCACCAGTCACCCTGTATATATACTAGAAGACCCGGCGAACTTCGTATCGCCCTATAAACAAGAAATATCTGTTACGTTTTTTTTAATAAATAAATTTAGGTTATACCTTAGCCTCAGAATTATTAATACGTTGTGGTTATGCTATTATTAAATAGTCGCTCATATATGACGTTTGTATTTTTAACATAGCGCCATCTATTGAATACTTAACTCAGTCAACAGATAATTGTAATAATGACAAATAATTTCCAATAAAATAATATTGTGACTATAAATTGAGATGTAAGCTATCCTATCTTTCAAGTTGGATCAATATGAACACGGAATGCAAATCAAATTTAAAATCGGTTTAATAGTTTAGGAGTCCATCGCGGACAAACACGTGACACGAAAATTTTATATATATGTATAAAGATATCTATATATTATGTATGTATCTCCTCTCACCGGGTCGTATTCCTTCTTCACTTCCTTCTTAATCTTCGCCTTCTCAGCCGCTTGTATTCTCTTGATCAAGTCTTCTGATATCTTCGGCTCCACTCGTCTCCCGTTATCAGAGGGAACTATATCCATTAGAGACTTGCGATTCTTTTTGTTTGCGGCCTAAAACATTATATTTAGTTGTATATAACATTATAATGTAAAGCACGGAAATATATATGTATGTAGTTTTGATGAAACTCTCATGAGAATTAAAACATGATAATTATGTTTCATATTGACATTCTTGATAATCTAAATTATTAGATAACATTACCTTCATTCTGTCCATCTTAATATTTGATAGCAATAAAACAGAAACACTATTAGTTTAGTACACATTTGTATATTATAACTTGTTAATAATTACATATAACTATATTATATTATACATACCAATGCTTTAGATGTTTTCTTGTTGGTGTTACTTTCGTCAAGTCGTTCTTGTTCCTCGACTTCGTCTAATTTAATGAGGAATGAATCCAAGTCCTCTCGCCATAACATAGCCGGAGTTTTAGCTCTGATAGTAAAATATTATTATAGTTTAATATCACATATTATAAGAATAGTATAATTTATTATCATGAATAGCATCTAATAGACAGTTGACATTTTCAACGACTTTAATTTAACTATCGATTATTTGAAACACTGCTTAAATTATGTATCTCTATTAAGACTTATTTTGTTTTATTCTTTGAGAGTCATTCTGTAAGAAGTGATGTTGCTTGTAGAACATTAAACATTTTCTATAACTAAAATTTCATTTATAATAAATATATATTTTTAATAATATTAATCTTACTTCAATGTTTCCAACTCCGTCAGTTTTTGATCTCTCTGTTTCAGTAGCTCGTCTTTCTTTTCCTTAGTCAACATCCACATCGACATTCCCAGGAGATAATTGAACTTCTTTACTTCTTTTAATTGTTGGAATACTTTTTCTGAAATATATGAAATATACAGGGTGACTGGTGAATTACTATCGATACTTGAGGACGTGATATTTGACGATCATATATGACAAAATAAAAATTAATATAACATAAATATTAATAAACTTCTAAGTTAACCAAAAGTTATCTAATTAATTACGCATCGTGTGAACACCCTACAGATTAGGTATACACACACACACACGCGTGCGGCGGCGTGGTGTTGTATCAGCACGCCGCCGCACGCTTCCACACTTGGAACACTTGAAACGTGTCCACGCTTTATTTATTTATACGGAAATTTGGTCAAAAATTAAGTACCTATTTTTTTTACATAATTCGAATGAGAATCATGTACCGAGTATTCTCTTTAAATATTGATAGTAATTCACCAGTCACCCTGTATATTAATGAAATTTCATTCTATTTATATTTTTTATTATATTATATGCACCATGGTACATTCGTAACTGTGATCTACATAGAGAACTGAAAATTGACGTCGTAGATCAAGTCATATAAAAATATGTTTAAGCCAAAGAGACTTCATCATCACGTGAATTTCGACGCCATTCAGATCCTTAATAACACTAATATAGTAAAATAAGTACCAAGACTGAATCTAATATAGACGTTCCAGCTAATGTACCTAGTGTTTTTTATTGACAAATAAATTCAGTGATAAGTCCCGCGTATAAAGAACACATGAACAAAGTATCTTCGCCTTAACAAAGACTAAGTACGTGTAATTGGACACACTCTTAGGAACATAAGTTAGGTTTAAAGATCTTTATTCTCAACTAGCTTTTACCGCGACTTCGTCCGCCTGGAATAGTGACTTCCGGCAGATTTTTGTTTCTTCCCACATAGTTCCCGTTCTTTCGGGGTTTTCGGAATGGTTGAGTTTCCGTAGAATTTTCAGGATAAAAGTAATGTTTTTTTTTAATTCACAATTAAGTACTCTTAACCAACAACATATTTATTTGTTTATTTGAATGAAGATTAATATTATTATGTTGATACAACTTAAACAAATTATTTCGACCAAATTAGGTACCATAAAAACGGTTTTTGTGAGTTCATCTTAAAACATAGACATTAGTATTCTTTATATTCTTTAGTACATATTTTTTGTGTATCTTGAACCGTTTTCACGGCGCACGCAACGGAAGGATTCAAAGATGAAATAATTTCTCCCGTTTTTTACACATTTACCACTATATCTTTGCTCCTATTGGTCGTAGCGTGATGTTATATAGCCTACAGCCTTCCTCGATAACTGGACTATCCAACACAAAAAGAGTTATTCAATTCGAACCAGTAGTTTCGGAGATTAGCGCTTTCAAACAAACAAACAAACTCTTCAGCTTTATAATATTAGTATAGATAAGACAATACATAGCCACTTATTTGAGAACATTACTAACTTAAACATATAACTTTGTTAAAATTCGTCACACCAGGTTTTATTTAATCTGTAGTGGTTAGTAGGAAATTAATAAGAGAATAAAAGAAAAGGAAAACGCACCCACTGTATGCGTTAGTTGGTAAGATATTGCGCGAGTTGCGTTTTAAATGCACTAAGTGAATGCGTCTTCTTTATACAAAAAGGTATTTTATTATAAAGTTAATGTAGTAATTAAGATTAAATTTATTACTCATTAGTCAAAAGGCTAGGTTGTATATTTAACAAAGTATTATTACCAGGGTCAGCTGCTTTCCCCTTCACTTCTTCAGGTTCTATTTCTTCTTCAGACTCCGGTTCTTCTTCAACAGCGGTCAGTCCTTGCATCTTACTAGCTCGCTTCTTCCAATCAGCGATAGGATCGGGCGCGTAACCTGAACAAAAAATATTTTAAACAAACCGTTAATAATAATTACTAATATACTATAAAATTAATTTCTTATAATAACTAAATAAAAAATGGAATATGATTTTCCTGTTAAGGCCGATCAAACGAACATAGAGATAGAGCTCGAACAAGAGCATTCGTTCGTAATCTTTTGGTGTAAACGAAAGCTAGATCGAATGTTTTTTGCTCATTCGTCTCAATTCTGTGGTTAAAATTTGTAGTGCTTCGTTATGGCTGACTCTGACAGCGATATCATTATTGCATTTATTGTTTTGTCGCAAAAACTCAAAAATAAAAGAAGGAAGAGACGTTGGTGGGTTACAAATTTAATGCATCGAAGTATCTTGTTTGTATGATGTATTTTTATAATTTTCATACGTTGGATCCCAGAGACATCTGAAGTTGCGGTAGGCTTCTATCATTACTAAACATTTTTCTTGAGACCAAACCATAATTTAATAGATACGTTAACAATCGCTAGAGCACAAGAACGCTTTGATGAAACCGCTCAGTGGCGCGAGCACGTCCGAACACGCTAGAACGCTCCAGCCAACTGTTCGTGCGCTCTTGCGCCGTTTACATCAAGCGAGCGAGGATTCTCAGAATATTCTATAGAATCTTTGCGAACGGACTAAGAACAATGAAAGAATGCTCTACGCCTGTTTACACTAGAAGAATTTGATGTAGTGGGGATAGATAGAGCATTTGTTTGGTTAATGTAAATCGACCTAAACACTTTAGACACATAAAAAAGTTTTTAAGTTAAAAATTTTCCTTCCTGTTAGTTACTATAGATTTAATGAGAAACGTCAAAAATTTCATATGTAGTTCGTGAAGTCTCTACAAAGCTAAGACTAAGGTAACATATAATTCATCACCTCTCTTGATAAGTTCTTCAACGAGCACCTTCCTTTTCTTATTCTCCACCACAAGTCCCTTGTCACACTTCTCCAATATGAACCGCGCCTGGTTGGACAGCTTGTCTGCCTCTGCCTGCAACTGTCCTTCAAGCCACTCCTTACGACGCGCGTAGTAACGTAAACGTATACCGTAGAACTCGTGTAATACTTCCTCTACTTTATCATACCTGGAATATTATATATTATATATTAGAGTTTCATGTTAAAATGAGTCTTTATTTATATATACAATACTATGTTAGATTAATTTTATTGTATCTATTCTATTCACATGTCACTTGGTTGGAAAATTGAAAGTTGTATAAAGACTTAAATATTATACTGGTTAAATTTGGCAGGCAATTGTATTATTATTAGTAATAATTTACTTTCCACATAAAATTATGCATCAAGAAGCTATAAATTGAGTGTGAATAAGCTATACATAAATATAGTGATATAATGCACTGAGCTCACTTCTTAAGACAGTTGTTATGATCGAATGCGTTCATGCACGTCATTGAGATGGTCGTTTGTAGTTTGAACACTTTGTGTATGCCCTCCGCCTCAACCTCGGCCAACTTGCCCGGGAGTAGCGTCACTACGAAACGAACTGTAGTATCCGTGTTATATTCCTATAAACAAATATTTAAATAAAAAACATACATGAAAAATTCATCGACATAAACTAGAATCGAACTTGCGACCTATATTCTGCTCGTGTCGATGTAAATTTTAATAATTATAAACATAGTGTACACACCCTGTATACTCACTCATATAGACAGTGTACTCACTCATATAGACAGTGTACTCAACTCATATAAACAGTGTACTCACCCTGTATTCAGATATCAAAGGTTTAACTTTGTCTGTACCGAGCATAGGCTCTAGAACGTTCTCTTTATAATTTTGCGTCCACGTGCCAACAGGAAGCTCTGTTATTTCAATCTTTTCGTTTGGCAATATGGCCGCCTCGCCGGAAATTACGTATTTGTCGCCGAAGCTCTCGATAGTTCCACGGAAGTTCTTGTACCAGGGATGCATTGGCACTGGATCTTCGCCGTCAAGCATTCGACTAAAACGTAAATGTTGAAAGTTTATTACTATAATAATTATATTTCTGTAACAACTCACGTACTTATTATGATACGATTTTGCCCACAACTTTGTCATGGCCTTCTTATATGAAATCAAACTAAAATAAGTATATCTGTCACTGTATTCAAAATGCATTATTGTGGAAAGTTTTAATTCACAGGCCATTTATATGGACATAATATAGATATCCTCACAAACTATACATTTATAAGACTAGTAAGATTTCTCTCTAATTAAATAGAATAATCTAAGTGTTTCATGTTATAACTGACCGTATGTTAGCTACAATATCTCTAGGGTTGTAGTTAGGTATCTTAGTAGACCACCCTGTTCCGATTCCCTCCGCGCCGTTAACTAGCACCATCGGTAGAATCGGTACGTAATGTATGGGTTCGATCTTCTGATTGTCTTCGAATTCGTGCTGAAAAATAAAATTAATTGAGTAAATAAATAATTCAAATAACGCGCAAATTATTGAGTAAATAATAACTTTAAAATAGTACTTTATTTTGTAAGGCTAGTTTTTTTTAACTTGTGACAAATACAGTTAATATATAGTTTCACAGTGAGATCAATAATAGTGTATAATATAATATTTCCCATAAACTGAAACATGTTTACATATTTTATCTTGTTTGGTCATACTCAGTAAAAATGTCACATTTTGTTAGTATTATTAAATTTTTTACCAAACAAAACTTTGTATGAAATTATGTTTACATAATTTATCTTGTTTCGTTGGACTAATTGTATGTTGCCATTTTTTTTTTAGCTTTATTAAAACCTATACCAAGCTACGCTCTGTATAAAATCATGTTTACAAGTTTTAGTGTGTTATTGGACTCATTGTATGTCAACATGTTTTAGTATTATCCAAACCTGTATTTTTCAATACTATATATAGTAATGTTTACATGTTTTATCTCGTTTCGTTGGACGTATATATGTTATTGTCATACCACTAGCAGCGGATCGTCATGAGGATGGAAAACGAGTCTTGTGAGTGGCGACATGAGTGTGAAGATGTATCTCGGGCTGGCCGAGTCCTTGCCGCCACACAGCCTAGTACCGAACTGACCGCGCGGCTCGAGAAGGTTTATGTTGTTCGATCCGACGTAGTTCTGGGCCAAGTTCACGATCGTCATAGCCAGAGATTGCTCACCTGTATTATATTATGCAATTGGTAATAGAATATCATGAAAGTATTTGTTTAGAAGTTATAAGTTTCTCGATTAATACTGTATGAGTAAAAATAGTTTAAATTACATATTGGTAGTTAATTATGGTTCGTGAAATATTAGGGAATTATATGTATGTATATTTTATATAATTAAATACTGTTTTGATGCTGACATAGTGAAAGTGATATAAAAATTCCGGGCCTATCCCACTTCTATTAGAAAATATTACTGGGAAACTCGTTAATAGTATAATAATATTATTTATTGTTACAAATATACTGACCGTGATGGTACGCCGAGTGCTCTGCTACTGAACCAGCCAGCTGAGCCACTTTGACCTCACGTTTGTCGTTACGTTTGATGCACGTGAATATCACTTTACGCTGGCCAGGCTTCAAACCGTCCATCATTGATGGTATCGATCTAAAATGTAATTGTAAATGTATTATAATATCATGTACATTAAAATATAAAGTAGTAAAGAGGCATTAGTTAGTTTACCTGACATTGTCGCCGTTAGAAAACAGAACCAGTTCTAAATTAACGAAATCTGAATAAGTGACGGCCTTGATTTCCTTTGTATACAAATATCTCTCCGGCAGACCGATTTCTTTCCTCCTTTTAACTTCCTCCATATGGTTCGTGAGCCACTCCTTCCGTTGGTCGGCTCCTTTCTTTGAGAAGGCCAGTTCTATGTGATGGTCGTCAGTAGGCCCGCTGTATCTGAATCTTATCCTATGCCTTTCCATATTCTGGAAGTATTCTTTAGCCTCCTTTGACGTGGAGGTACCCAAACCTTTGTAGTATTTGATATTATAAGTGTGATGGTTGTCGGTTTCCCTCTTCCACTCTTCGAACTCCGGCAGCGAATAGAACGAGAATTCCTTATCTTTCTTCGTAGCCTTCACTATGGGCGTAATGAATTCTTCTAGGAAGGGTAGCTTGAGTAACTCCGGCCAGTTGTGGTGTATGAAGTTGATGATGAGACCTTTTATATGTGACCCGTCTTGATCCTGATCCGCCATTATCATAACCTTGCCGTATCTCAACGACTTTAAATCATCGATAGTGTTATATTTCTTTTTGTATTGTAAGCCCACGATCTTAATTAGATTATTAATTTCAACATTTTCAAGAACCTGCTTGTGTGATGCGTCTCTAACGTTGAGCGGTTTGCCCTTCAGTGGAAAGACGCCGTAATGATCTCTACCCACTACACTGAGTCCAGAAACGGCCAAAGTTTTAGCCGAATCTCCCTCGGTGAGAATTAACGTGCATAGATGAGCGTTCTTGGTACCGGCGTCGTTAGCGTCTTCTAGTTTCGGTATGCCCTTTAATTTACTCTGTTTCTTACCGGACGCCTTAACTAATTCATTCTGCGCCTTAAATTTAGCCCATGTGAGGACAGATTCTACTAAACCGGATTTTGTAACAGCATTTATAAACTTCTCGGAGAAATTACATTTGGAACCGAAACTCTTGGCCTGCAGAGTCATGTTTTCTTTGGTCTGCGAGTCGAAGGTCGGGTTGACGATCAGACAGTTGATGAATACCCACATGTGAGTTTTAACCTGGAACGGTTTAATGTTAACTCCGCCTTTGTTTTTTTTCTTCAGTACTTCTAACACATTCTTGACCACACTGTCGGCTACTGTGTCCACGTGTTTCCCTCCCTTCGTAGTAGCGATGGAGTTAACGAAGGATACCTGTTGGAAGCCCCTATCGGACAAAGTCAGGGCAACTTCCCACCGATCATTAACTTTCTCATATACAACCTTCAAAGGTTGACCGTTCTCGTCTTCTTTGCCTTTAATATATAGATCAATATAGTCCTTGAACTTATTAATTTTCAATCTTTCTCCATTAAGATATACTTTGACCCCCGTCGTAGAGGCGGCTACGTCGTAGGCTCTCCGTGACATGAGCGCTACGATGTCGTCTTCTAATTTATCCATTTTAAATTTAGCCAAGTCTGGGCTAAAGGTCACTTTTGTGAAATCGTCATCTTTACCGGACTCTTTAACCTTGGGTTCGGAGGCCTTTGTCATGTTGGAGCCCCACGTCTGTTTGAAATGTTTCTTGTATTGTTTGGAAGCGGTCTCCACTGTGAACTTTGTTGAGAAGATGTTACATAATTTTGCTCCGTAACCATTTCTTCCTCCTGTCACTTTTTCTTCCTCGTCATTATAGTTGGAAGATGTCAGTAAATGTCCAAAGATCATGGTCGGCACAAACATCTTCTCATCTTTATGCATAACCACAGGAATCCCGCATCCATTGTTATATACTGATATAGTATTTTGTTCCTGATTAATGTCTATTTTAATGACATCCATTTTGGGATCCCTTTGCTTATTATCGGCAGCATTCACTAATATTTCGTCATATATTTTATATAAACCTGAAAAAAAATACAATAATACAATAACCTAATTAACAGAAGGAAACATTGTGAGTAATAAGAGAATCAAGTTTAGTATCATACAAATCAGGAACTATTATTGACATCACAATTAATTTAGAAAAAACTTATTAATTTAATTATTGTAAAAGTTGAAGTAAACTATGATTGTTCAATGTATTACCTGGTACATATGTCAATTCTCGTTGGACCATACACTCTTTCTCTTTATCGTAGACCCACATAGTTTCTGTGGAACGTTCAACCGACCCAATGTAAGTGTCGGGTCGAAGCAGTATATGTTCCAATTGAGATTTCTTCTGATATATTTTTTCAATAGCGCCCTTCTGACCCTTGGAGGCCTCGGATGTACCATTTTGAGTGCCATTGCTCATTTTATTGAACATTGACTGCAATAAAATAATAATAATTAACATATGGCTATGTAACACACAAAAATATTGTGAGAATTTGAATGTATGTTTGAGTAATTTTAGTACTTCTTATGATTTATACATTAAATCCAACAGATGTTTCAATGAGCTTGCCAGCTTTATCATTTGAAGTTCGCAATACAATCAAAATAATGAGAACATATTTATTTTTACTTTAATAGTAAGTTTAGCACCAAATCATAAACAAGGATTTCAGTCTTATAATAGCTACTTAGAGAGAAAAACATATTAAACAGTCACAAAAGTTTCAAGAAATACAAAAATAAAGATTAAGCAAAAAAAAAATGTGTCATTGACATTAATAAACGAGATTAAGAGAAAAAAACTAAACCAATTTGCAAATATATACCGATAAATAAGGGAAATTATCATAAATCTGAAAAAATAGCCTCAAAAATTATGCAATTGCGCTCCTGATTTGGTAATAAGGACATAATTTGAAGAATTCGTAGTTACAATAATTTCATCAGAACATTTTCTATGATGAAAATATAGAAACGGCAACGTATTACGCGGTTATTTGAACTATAACGACTTAATTGACAAAAAAATGAAGGTAGATTTGAATTAATGATTGTATTTTATTTCCTAAGCATTAAAAACAGGGAAGTGATATGTAATTGAAATAATAAATACAATGACTTTTTGAATCATGAAATGTATGTAATAGAACAAATCTTCAAATTAAATATATCATACTATGTACGAATAAGTATGTTGCTCATACAAAAAAGCAATGTTCGATATCATTTATTATTAGAAAAAATAAAAATAATAATATATGGATAAAAATGAAGTCGGTTAATAAACATTATTCGACCGTTAGCACTCAAAATGCCGCCAAGATTATTGCTTACCTTAATATCAGCCATCTTGGGAGTCGTGCTCAAAAAACATTGAGCGATCAACGCTTCGCACGATTGTCTTGTATACAAGACACTACAGGTTATTAATTTATTAGCTTTTATAAAACAACATTTTCACTGCCGTATTTAGCAAAAACTTCATCAACGACGAAACAACGTTCTTGACAAAGACGCCGTGAGTAACCATAGATTTTGAACAGACATAAGACGCCCCTGATCGTTGTCTATGAATATCACATTAAAATTATTGATAATTATTTATTATTAACATATCAGCATTATCTTCTAAATTAAATTATTAGTGAAATTTTGTTACACATAAATAATTTTATTGCATATGCTCAAATTTTTTTTCTAAAATTGTTTTGAAAACGAAAAACTTTTTCAATCATAAGTCAATTGTAATATTTAAGTGCTGTTGACACTTGACAGTAACATTTGTCAAATACAGTTGTAGGTTATGATACCGAAACCTCTTTTATTATTTATGTAACTAAAGTGATAATTATGTCTATTTTATCATTCGCCTCAATAGCTTTAAAAAGAGTTCAATCTCTTAAATGTTTTCTTTATAATAATCCGATAAAACCCAGTATAAAACCATTTAGTTCTGTTGTTACCAAAACTATTCATGATGTAAATACAAATGTTGCTAAAGATGTTGTGTTGTTTAAATATGAGAACCCGAAATTTTACATGTATATGAATATATTTGCAATCGTTCAATACATGTTTTGGTCATACTTGGGTATATTCGCATTGAAAACATTGAGAGACGCACCGGTCGACGAATCAAAAATAACAGAAGACACTCCATGGTTCAGACGAATTAATTTAGGACAAAATAAATATAGAAATACTTTAGGAGCTGTAGCAATATTAATAGGTATTTCTATTTACTCAAAATACTTAAAAAATATCAATTGTAGTATAAAAAAATCTGTAATAAGTTTAACTTATGTGTATGTTGTCATTATAGGTACTGGATCATTAACCATGATATGGTTGTACACTCTGAGGTCAGTTCGTTATTTAATTCTAAACAAAGGAGGGAGACATTTGACTTTTATCACTTATGGCCCTTTTGGTAAGAACAGGATTATGAAGGTGCCAATAGAATGTGTGTGCTCCAAAGAAAGTAGAAAAATTGCTAAAGTACAACTGCCTTTAAAAGTAAAGAATACTTTGATGCATTACATGTTGGATATGAGAGGTGAATTTAAAAATCCAATGCTGTTTGATTCAACCGCAGGATTGAAAAGGACTTGGTAGAAATGTATAGAATGTTATTATTAGTGTTAAAATCAATAAAACTTATTTGGTTTTATAATTAATTTAAACTTTATCAACTGCGGTTGTATTATTTTATATACATTTGAGTGAGATGGTGTTTGTCAGGTGTCACTATAAATAAATATAAGTGTAAATAGATATATTTGTTTTTATACTATAATCACTATGTAATGCGGTAAATCTTTACCCTAAAAACTTTACACTATAAGTCACAGTTCTCTTTGTAAAAGCTCTCCTCTAGCCAATTAAATTCCTTCACAATTTTCATATAAAACAAAGGCTTTGATAGTAGCAAGACCCAGGATTTTGTGTAATATTTCTATAAGTCAAAAACATATCTCACCGCTGTAAGAAAATTCTGAACAGTTTGACAATTTCGTTGAACCCACCCACGTTAAGCATAATGCCATCAGGTACCATCGTTAGTTTCTTGGTTGCATCATCAGTACTTTCTGGGTGACAAGAGGGTCAAATTATAATCACAGTTTTGTTTATGTTTGAGACATGAGTATGAATAATATTTTCATGAGTAGAATAGAACTGAACAGATTTTCAGCTGTGATGTTTTTATTATTGGTTTCAATTGACTTTGCTAATCTCGGAACTGACTGCGTTGAAAATCCAAACACTCTTAATGAATTTTCATTTGAAAACACAAAGATTGTTTCCGGGTCACATAAAATCAATACTCTTATGTCGTATTTGACTGGCTTATTTTGCATATATATTCTAAATTTGCATCAACGTGTTTGGTCCCAGAATCTATTTTATTTTTTTAGGAATTGAACCCAAATGTTCCAAACATTTTAGAAATTGTTGCAAAATCAAATGTCATTATTTAAATGCTTGTGATCAAAATACAAACATTTTGGTTTGTAACGTCTTACATCTATTGGACACCAGGTATCCATCTATATCACTCATATCGCGAAATGGCTATGTTGCATTTGATTTGCTATGTCTAAGAGGCTACTACCGTAGTCGCAGTGTTAAACATGTGTTCAATTTAATATATTACTTATTAGTTGTATATAAAAATTATTGTTTTAATAAACCAGAACAAAAAGAGTAAGAATTTTTTTTTCTGCATTTAGACATCGAATTAGAATATATTAAGGGATTAAAAAAAATGCTGTATATTTGAAAATCTTTATTACTTTAAAATAAAATTAACTGAAAGTGATGTTCTATCAACACAAAATAAACGCAAAGTAAAATTTTTATAACAAAAATAAATTTTAGTAATTTTATTTACACAACTGCCGTTTTATTGGACACGAGAAATATGTGTTTCTGATATTAATCACATAAATATAGTTCAAATCATATAAAAATAACAAAAAAGAGAGATTTGTTTTATCATTCATAAATAAATTGTCACAATTTATTTTATGAATGTTGAATTACATTTTTTAATACATTTAAGCTTTATTTGTTATAATTAATGATTGGCAGATTAGAATATAACTGTGTCCAACAATATAATTTAATGATGACGACCCTCACTATATACCATAGACTTACATACAAGTGATGAATTCCTTCCTTATTCTATACTATAGACAATTTCCAATCTAAATCTACAAATGCTTCAACTAGCTCGCTACAACAAGCTATCGATTGAGTTAAAGGACTCATTAAATATATACAAGAAAACTTATAACATTAAACACATTATAGTACATTCGGTTACTGGAGTTCAGAAATATTTTTTTTGAGCTTTTCTTTTTAAAGACAGAAATCGAGAATAACAATTAAAATGGATCCTCGTTAAGTACAATAATATACCTTATTTACAATAAATTAATATTCATTACATACCTATGAATAAATTACGTTTTAAGGCTCTGTTAGAGCACAAAATGAAAAAGCAGTGCAAGTTTTAATATTAAATTAATATAAAATACAGCTGTCGAACGTTTCTGTTCACATTATAAAGTTAATTTTATTAAAACTAACATGCATTGTATCACTGCATTGCAGTTACACTAACATTCATGACTCATACAACAAACTACACAAGTTTAACCACATACAATAGATACATAACCATACTACAGATGAAATTTTAAGGTTTTATTTTCCCATCCTCACTTAAAACAAAAAGAAATATATAACAACATCAAGTAGTTCAATTTATATAAAAAATAACTGTCACTTTTATGATCTTCTTGAAATATAATTATCTAATTTTCTAACAAAACATATAACTCAAATGATTAGAGATACAAATCATATGATTATGAAGAAAATAACCACCTCAATACATTTTCAAACAAATCATAATATAATATCCTTAATATTGAGTTTAATCATTTTGATCCACAAACAATCGACAGTTTCATTCATCAGTCTCATTGTCTTAACAAAACTTCAGTCATCTTTTACACGTAAGTCACAGTGTTCATATCAAATAATATATTAAACTATCAACTTCCACTCCGTCTACACATCACCATGAATATGACATATATTTTATACATTTTCAAATAAATATCAATGTCTATAGAAAATATTTAATATTTCTAATGACACGAACATTATAATAGTTTTTGATATTTTTAAGAGCAAGAGATTTGTTCATATGTTTACAATATATAAGTACAATATACTAAACACAACATTCTGTTATTATGAGTCTTAAATATAATTTAGAAGAATAAATATGATTTAATTAATTAATGTGTGAAATTTATTATTTCTAACATTAATATCGATTCAAATATCCCACTTTTTCTATATATTCCACGCTTAAGAATATCAAAAACTAAAACTAACACTAAATATAATACATATATTAATATTGTAACAGCTTGATTTCAAAATATATTCTCGACAGGTCCTTAATAAGCATCAAAAATACTGAGTACCAAATATCCAAACTATCCACTAAGAGTTTTCACAGATCATTAAGTTCTTTTTGTTTAATTCAACTCTAATCTATAATGAAGATAAGTTTTTAAACCTTCTATTAAACATTCTGACAATAACCATTACGTTTCATGTCTCATAATTTAATGTCATAAAATTATTTGTTATCTGTAGACGTCACTGTCAAAATATATAATATTAGAGAACATTTGCAATGTATTTACTCTATATTTTTTATATATATAACATTAATTAATGTCCAGAGATCATATAATTATAATAAATTGGCCCATTTTCGTCACGATGTTAAGTCCATTGTAGGCCTCACACTAACCATAGACAACGCGTGCACAATAACTTATCCTAACCTAGATCAAACGTCGTCCTAATTTTTTTTTAATAATCAACATTAAATACAGATAAAAAATATGACTCAAGCATAACTTCAACAGCTATAACTTTAAGTTTTATTTTTCTTCCGTTTAAATTTCTCCGTATCTATGACTAGCTAACGATAGCTAAAATCAGCTAGTTCCTTAATTTGTACTCCTTACCGTGACATCTAAACTATTATTATAATTTACGATCGAATCTTAAGTCTTCATCATTTTCATACTTTACAACCGACATACCATATTGAACTTTATTACAAACGCACAGAGTTCACATTACGTTAAAACTTTTCATCTCCGCTTTTATTAAGTCACTAAAGCCCGAATGAGTTAACAGATTATTGTTTTGGAATTCTGTCGGTAAGTATAGTTCGTAGTGATAAAGGTTCAGTTTAATATGTTAATAGTTTGATGTTATCAAACCGCGACTGTAATACCTTGTAATAAGGTTTATTTTAGTATCGTCAGTCTGAGATGTATCTCGTACGTTCGTCGTCGTCTTCACGGCCGGGGCTGATGCTCTCTATCTCATCAACTTCTTCCAAGTTCTTCGTATTGGGATTACAGAGTCTGAAATAATTAGAATTTAAATTTAGAACAGAATTTTTATAATTAATAGATTAATATTATACCTTATATCTATGGATATAAGGAATATTATTCAATGTATACCTGCATTTGCAGCATACGATGCAAGGCGCGGCCAATAGTAACAATGGACTGGCAACGAGTAGTAGTAAACCGAAACCAGCGAAAATACCGACCACCTGAAAATAAAACATACATTTATAATACACTTAGTATGAATATATTTGGTTACAATGAAGAAATGTTGAGATCATACTTCAATTAGATAATTCTTAGCTTAAATATTAGAAAATGTATGGGTTATAGTACAGGTAAAGACGGTTTAGTTGGCAAAGTCATTTGAAGACGATATTTAACATATTTCAGATTCTAATCTAGTGTCGATGAATTATTGATTCTTTCGTATATTTACTATTTGTTCTTTTAAAGATTTATTATTTATTTTTATATAAACTTGGGTTACTTTTATTATGGAGTTCTTTTGTTGTTGTTTAGACTACACTATTTGATATTACAAAAAAAGTACATATGTAATTGAAATTCAATAATTTCCTTATTATCGATTTATTATTTAGAACTTCGAACAAAAAAAAATGTTAGAACGTATGGTTTCTGTCTCGTAAGTAAATCCTTTGCGGTTTCTAACAATATCTTAAGGAAACCGAATACACTTATTACGTTTTTGGGTATGTCTATATGTCATTGATTTATAAGGATACAAAATTTTAATTTTAATGAATGTCTGAAACACTGAAAGTTAAGCAGAAAAGTAATATAAATATAAATGTAAAGTCTACTCCGTTCATCATCAGCCTATCAGAGTCCACTGCTGAGCAAGGCCTCTTCTCACACGGAGAAGGTTAGAGCATTAATCACCACGCGTGTTCAAAGTGGATTGGCGATTTCAAACTTATATTTTTAAGTTCTCCGTTACTAATAAGTTATCGTGAGACCGTCTCCGTACAAACAATTGACCCTAATTGTAAAATTGCTGCGAAAATCCTTCAACGTACAATATTTGCTCCCGAGTGTTGGTCATTGAAATTGAGTTAACACAACTCAATTAAATGATTACTACTCATCAGATCTGTAGCCCTGGTACATTTTGACTTGACTTTAAACTTTCAGTATTTAAGTCTATGTGAAATCGTAGTTAGCACCTTGAAAGCTTGATTGATAAACTTAGTGTAACAGTGAATTTTACCTACAATTAAAATGGTATATATACAATTTTTAATAATTACAATAATTATTACACATTTTTAATCATCTCTTATATCGGAAAATTAATAATACGTATAAACAATGGTAAGGTATAATTTTATAAATTATAACATATTAGATATACGTTTAGTTTCACTAGAATCCGCTTAGTTGTTTTCGGGTTAGTTGTAACAACCATACATATGTCATAATATTAGTTGTGTGCTTTATGAACACACAGATCAGGAACATATGAAATTGTATATCTTTTATAGAGCTTACCTGAGCACGATGCCATAACACTGATGCTCTTGAATGGCCCAATTTATTCTTGCAAGGACCCTTGTCGTAGTGTCGCAGAAGAAAGTCATCCTGAAATGTTAAATATTATTTATATTAATACACTTTTTATTTATTTACTTGTTCATATTATTTATATTTATTATAACATTTTTTTTTTTACAATATATCGCTTTATCTATGACATTATCCCCACATAATACGTGTACATAAAATAAGTTCATTTCAGTAATCAGTTGACAAAATAATTTTTCTTAACAACTGTCCTTATTCTTCTATAACAATATTATATATATAGGAATTTATATATTTTTTTCTATTTTATTCTTGTACATATATTGTCTTTGACTTTGAATATATGTTTTATGATCTTGGTGTATCTTGTTCGCAAAACGGAAGCGCCATCAAGTGACGTAATGTATAGGTGTAGACCGGTCGGTCGTGTTTAGAAAGCGTTATACTTTCATCTGAGGAGCCCGCTCACACAAACATCTATCATACAAGCGATGACATATTACATAACACATATTAATGACCCACACAATATATATTATAAACACTACACTTAACTTCCTTATCAAGAAAGAATCATTCACAATTTAAATGAAACTAATATTTTTATTATACTACGCGATTTTTTTTTGTACAAAACTACATACTCGCGACGTTTCGGCTACTTTTCAGAAACCGTGATCTCGTAAAAATATTAGTTTCATTTAAATCAATAAAACTCACGAAAATTTTAGATCTAATCATTTAAAATATTCTTTGAACAGCCTCTTAGTAACTGTTATAGAAGTTTAAGCGATTCTTCGATTGAAATCATGTTTGTAAAGTTTTTATGTACTATAAAAGGTTCTTAAATGTATCCAATGTAAATATTTATTAATAAATACAGCCAACAACGTGTCTCGTTAGCGAATTCTAATGTTATATACTCATGAATAATGTACACGTGATCGACCCAGCAGGCCCTGTCACACTATACGTTAGGGAGATATATTTTTGAGCGTTATTCAATATTATTTCATAGAACATGTAAGCTATCAACTATATACTAACTTAAACTAGACGAAACTTCTCAGCATTCCATGGATTCACCGTGCGGGTGCCGGGTCCATCGCGTTGCAGGGGGAGGAGCTTCAACAGTGCCTGGGACTTGCGACCCAAGTGTAGGTTTAAGGGGCCCCTTAACTAACGCGCGTTATACGCTCACCTCCACTGTCCAAGCTCCTCTCCCTACCTAACCAAATTTGAAAAGAACCTACTAGGGCTGCCTTCGATGTACGTTCCAAGAATGCATTAATGTGAGTTCTGGACAAGCCCAAGTCCTTTAGTAGGTTATAGAGAGATTTCGCTGTTATACCTCTCGCTCCCACCTCTACCGCGTACAAATCTACTACGAACCTATTTCGAGTGAGTTCGTTTGTGAGCTCGTAATATTTGTTGACCTTGATGGTATGGTCTTTGGGGATGTTGGTTTCCCAAGGGACCGTAAGCTCTATCATCACTACGCGCTTTAAAATTCGCGAAAACAAAAATATATCCGGTCTGGAGGCCGACGCACAAATATCCTCGGGGATTTTATATTGTTTTTCATACGTGTCCATCATTATAGTCCAATCCGACGCCGCTTTAAGGATGGAGTAAGGCTTGACGTTTGATTTTGTAGCCCTAGAGCCTTCTCTCACAAAACCTACTGATCGTTCGTTTGTGGTTATTCCCTTTTGCGCTCTGGCTACCGAAAGACTAACCGCTTCACGTATGACTTCTAGAACCCTATCGTGACGACGCGAGTATTGACCGCTGTCAAGGAGTACCTTACATCCCACTAGCAGATGCTTAGCAGTTCCAACTGCCTTTCCACAGATATAGCAAGTTTTTTCGGTACTTTTACCCCATCTTACTAAATTACTCTGATCTGGGAGAGTCATCTGGAACGCATTGAGATAGAATTTTAGCAATGCTGGCGACCAATCATAAATTAAAGTGCGCCATTTTAATGCTAATGGGATGCAAAAATCTCCCATGTCTAACCACTCGTTCTGCATTTCTAAATTCATTGCATGGATCTTATATTTATCATTCTCGTCTTGCCGAATAAAAGACTTCAATATATCCGCATCTTGGACTTTCCTATTTGATCCTAACCCTACTTTGTTACTTTGTGCTCCTATCATAAATTGCTTATGGAATTGAAGTCGTGACTCTAGCTCGGGGGCATCTTCATCTTTTGGGAGCGATGTCACTATGTCATCATGGGATTTCCCCAGGATATATCTCTTGGAAACTCTTAGGTGTTTATAGAGCTCCGATGGCCTTTTTAGACTCATCCCAAAACTATTGCTTCCCCTAAATAACGCCGATGAATCAGCCGTTAGAGCGAGCCCGAGCCACAACTTCAACATCTTTATGACGCCTGCATCTAACTTTGACAAAAGGGTTTTATTAAAATCATAGACGAGGAAAGGCCAATTCAAACGTGAAGTTAAGTAATTCTCGTAGATCCACGCTTTTTTGACGTTACTTATCAGTTGGCTATCTACCTTGTCAAGATCGTTCAAAAAGCTATCTACTATTCCTTCTAAAGATGGAGTACGGCCTATATTATCTATCTTACGACCGAGAAATTTAAATGGTGCATTTTCCGTAACCGTAGAAATGCATTGACCGCCTAACGATAGTCCCGGATCGTATGAGGTGTATCTTGTATTCCGCCTACCAAGACACAGACAGTGACATTTACTGGGTTTTGTCCTCAATCCATCCGTCCACTCACAGAATTTATCCACTTCATCCAATAGTACCTGACAGTGTTTGGGGTTACGTGTCAGTATTGCGAGATCGTCAGCGAAGGCTAAAATGGATTCCGTGTATTTATTATTAAACTTAAACCGATAACCCCATTTTTTCTCGTTACAGATTAATTTGTCTACTAAGATGTTAATTACGATATTAAACGCAATTGGAGATAGACAACAACCTTGAAACAGTCCTACATTATAACTCAAACTTTTTGAAGGGCCTTCTTTAGTTATTATAGAAAACCTTAATTTTGAGTAATACGACGCGATCATATCTCTAACTAGGGGTGGAAAGTTGTACCATCTAAGCGCGAATAGCATCAATTCGTGTTGTATCGACCCGAACGCGTTCTCCAAGTCTATCCAACAAACAGTGATTTGCCGCTCGCTTTTTCTAGCATCTTTCAAACTCTCCGACAGCAAGGTGTTGTGTTCTAGGCATCCAGAAATCCCGGGTAAAAACCCTTTCTGGTGATTTGGCCTAAAATAGTTGTTGCTGAGCATGAATCGCGTCATTATATAACGAGTGTAAAAGAATAATAAAATATAAATTATTTTCGCAAAGAGGGTTGATGTCAGGCAGGCGGCCGGCCGTAAAAACAATAGCCAAAACTATTAACAAACATGTAAGGCAGACATGTAAGGGAAATTGCCAGGTAGAAGAAGAAGAGTGTAAAAGAATAATATAATAATACTCACATCAAGCGAGGCGAGACAGTACCAACAGAAGACGTGTTTACATCTCTTGCACATCATTTGAGCGCAGCCCTCGTCTTTTTCTATGGGGACGCGACACATGGGACAGAGTTTGATTAACTCCGAGTCTGGAAGGAGTGGGGCTCCAGCACCACCCATAGATGATGACGCAGCAGCCGCCTCGCAGGATATACCGCCATGCCACTGGGGTTAAAATTACATACATACATATCTTTATAAAGTCGAAATAGTTATACTATTTATAATTTAAGAACGGCTTTACGGGTTTTAATGGAAGTTGGCGGAGAGATACCTTAGAACAATAGAAAGGACGTAGGGTACTTGTTATCAGGATCAAAAAAGAAAAAATTATTTGATAAAATCCAAAACCTTCTTATTTACTGTCTTTATGGAGGAACAGAGGTCGTTCAGTCCGTTATACATTTCTATTTCTGAAACTAACGCAGAAGAAGTCGCAAGTTAAAGGTAGTAAATATATGTCTCAACTAGTGTACAGCCGAATAAAAACTATATAAATTCTATTTACAGAATTCACGTAAATATGAAATTAAAATGCAAAATAAAATTGAAATTAAAAAAATAGGAATTTCGTGTTTTGTGAATTTAATTAACTTATTGAATATTTAAAAGTATCGATTGTGTGCAGTGAAAATATCATTATTAAGTAAACTTCAAGAATTTAAATACTAGTATTAATTTAATATTCAAGTATTTCTTATGGCGTTTTATGTCAACTAGATGATGTACAACTAAAAAAGCAATAAAAGAAACTACTTAAAATAAACGTTACAATAAATCCTACATTTAATTTCCGTTAAAGATAAATTTAAACCCCATATGAACGATAATACCAATAAAATATTTATGTTCCCTAATTAATGACGATCACACAAAAAAACCTCAAATTATATAATTGAACAATAAAAATGAATGACCCAAGTCGTAAATTATAATTGATTTAATTTTAAACTTTATATGCGTTACAATGATTTTTAAATATTTCAAATATTGAAGAGTAAGAACTGAAATTCATAGAAATTGACAATGATTTATTTTTTATTAGTTACATAGATATAACACTATAGACAAACTTCGTCCTAAAATACATATAAAGCGTAGTGGTTTTCACAGGCAATATATTGTGAAGGTGTGTCTCCTGTATGTTTGCGTCCCTCAAACACAATCAATATATTACTTTTTATATAAAATAACCATATTTTTATATATAATCCTCGTAAAACCTCTCGACACGTGAGTTCAACGACTTCTATTATAGAAATCGTGTTTCAATAACATCAGTAAAACAGGTTATAATAATATTTCTCTTAAAATTCAAACTCCGTCCGAAATCTACAACAAGATATATAAAAAATGTAATAAAAATATCATTTTAATTTCTGCATCAACTTTTAAAGTGCAAGGGAATTATATTTGACACTTTATATAATACGTCTGTTGGCCTTTGGTAAAGGTTTAAAAGAAATATAAAAGACCTCAATCAGAAGCGGAGATTGAACTTCAATGTTACCTGAAGAAGTGAAGTGAAGTGAAGATTCACCTTGAACTTTAATGTGATAAAAGTGAAGACTAAGTTATTTATAACTTAATTATACATAAAAAGAAACCAGATTTCTTTTATTTATCATCTAAATCTGTACTATTATAACTAATGTTTTAATAATTAATATTTTTATATACATGTATATCTCATATTGCTTTCCCTCAGCTGCAGTAACTTGTTCATGTAAATATGTCAATAGCACAGTCATGGGAACATTCTAAGTTATAATTAATGTTATTTATAATCACGAGACTATTATTACAGATCGTTTATTTAATAATCTCTGATATGTTGAAGTCCCAATAAATTACTGTCATAAAATATATTTACATGTTTTCGTGTATTATTAAAGAAAGAAAAAAAAACACAGAATCTAATCGATCGGCGCCTCGAAACGAGTTCATTAAAACAAAACAAATTATATAGAATATACATATGTAAATTATATGAAATAATATTATTGTTTAGTATATAATTAGAAAAGTTTACGTATGTGTGTGTGTGTGTATGTGTGTGTTTGTGTATATATGTGTGTGTGTGTGTAGTTCGTCTAGTAGGTACCAGGCTCTCATAAACGCCCAGCCAGCTAATGGATTCAGTTCTCAGGAATGTTGCCAGCGTCGCCCTCAGTACTCAACTCGACCTACATCATGTCAAACTCACCCTCGCCGCTACATTGTTTATTTTTGAAGTTTTCTTAGTTTTAGAGAGCTTCACTTTAAAAATTTACTAAATCTTGTACTATAACAAAACTTTATTAAACATTTTAACTTCTATCAGTATTTTTAACAAAACAAAATAATATTAAGGATTTAAAATAAAATGTATAACCCATTCATAGTTTAATTACGTTAACATATTTGAATATTTTCTGTTTATTTTCTCATCGAAGCGACGCAAAAAAATAACAAAGGAAGGAAAGCGACACATAGCGGTTATAAAACGTTCGCACGATTTCTTAGTTATAATTTCCGTGTCGTACTAAATACCAATGTAACAGGAAAGAAAATGATTTGTGAGGCATAGATGAGTAACTTCCAGAGGTATATCCAGCTTTATTACTTAGTAACAATAAAAAATATTCGCAAAATTTGAAAGTTCTGTGCGGAATTAATCTATGTGTAACTAATATCGTTTTTTATGATTTCATGTATTTAATAATACAAAGATTCAAATATAAATATACACAAAATAATTAATAGATTTATATAAGAGTGTACGAGTTACATAAGTTTGTCAAATACTTCACGTATAAAGTCACGGTCAATACTACATCAGTGGGCAAACGGCCAATATATATTTTATTAGGAACGTATATTTTTGATATAAAATATATTTTTATCTTATATCAGGGATTTACTTTAATTCTGATTTCGTGGATATATAAAATTTATTCAATGTAAACGGAAAATATTGCTATATATCCAATCCCGGTTTGTATAATGGAAGATTTGGTTCAGAAATAAATTATAATCTTATTCTGATATATATATATATATATATCTTATTCTGATATATATATATATATATATATATATCTTATTCTGATATATATATATATATATATATATATATATATATATATATATATATATATATATATATATATATATATATATATATATATATAAGTTTTAAATAATTTTATTATAGATCGCAAAATAATAATATTAAGTATTTTTTATTATAGAGGAGAACTCTAAACAAGTTAGGGACTTTGTGATTTCAGACAAAACTTAGAAACTAATCTGTTTCGATGAATTCATCAAAATTTTGATTATAATTTGTGTATTGTTCAACTTTATATATGTGTATTTAGTATATGGATATCATGAATGATTTGTTTAAGAATTATCTGTATGAATTAATGAATGAAGGTATAGTTATTGTGGATTCTCTCATAAAAAACTATTAAGTTCATTTTTGTAAATAGAAAATTAAAATTATCATGGTGATACAAAGAGTACAAATTCTAACAACATTCCACAATTTAATAAGATCAACATTTCCAAACGAAGCCGCGTCATAAAGCTAGTTAAAAATAAAATCTATTGGTATTAATTATCAAAATACTCCACAGAAATTAGGAGTATTAGTGACGTCATATTCTATAATAGTCAAGCGCCTGAACTAATTATATACAATGTTCAGTTTAGAGAGAAATTCAGTGTAGCAGTATTCACGTATAGTAGAACCAAGAAGTCTGCAGTGACATTACTACATTAATCCCGCGAGATAAATCTTCCTCCCGAGTCACCGCAGAGAGATCCAGTGCCCCAATTAATTTTAATAGAATCAAAGGATTCTTGATTTTAAACTAATCAAGTATTTAACTTGCAATTAAGATAAATGATCATGAATGATTAAATCATTTACGAGACAGATTTGAAGGAGTGTTTTCGTTAATAGATTTGGTATTAAATGCTTATATACATATATACATGAATATATAGCTAAATTAATTTAGTATCCTAGCCCAGTTCTAGTAGATTCTTTTCAAATTTGATTAGGTAGAGAGGAGCTTGGACGGTGGAGGTGAACGTTTAACGCGCGTTAGATAGGGGGCCCTTAAACCTATACCTGGGTCACAAGTCCCAGGCACTGTTGAAGTTCCTCTCACTGCAACGATGGACCCGGTACCCGCACGGTCATAAAATAGAATGCTATGAGGTTTCGTCTCTTATTAATATATAATAGTAAGTCAATTTCTACTAACCTCTTGGTTACACTGTGAACAGAAGTCGTGTCTGCATGTTGGACAATGTGCTGGGCTGGCTGCTCGGACCTGTACCACTGTATCACAGCCGGGTCGAGGACAGAAAGCACGCATCGCATCCATTGCCACTTCTGTTACAAACAATACATACATTACAAAAACTTACTTAGTTAACCAGCAATGTATATAACAAAAAATACAATGAATAATAAAATGCCGCAGTAAAACCTATGCTGTTTTATCTAAATAGATTTTTAAAGTTAAGTTCAATTGTTAGATCTCCATATGTAATTTATATGTACCTAATTAATTTGTAAACAATCAAACTCGATTTTCAGAAATTAATTAGTTTTTTTTTAATAATTATTATTAATATATCTCCTAGTGTTCTCACTGACACAGGACATATTTTATTCCTAAGAGACTGATTTAATATTGTAACGTGTTTGCTGTTTGGTATTTATGAGGCGACAAACATTTGTATGGAAAAACACCAGTATACACAAACAAACATTATGGCGTCAGTACAATTAATTATATAAATGTATATACATATATATTATATAACATATATATCCAACCTTTTTTTTTGTTATTTGATATCCGCTCACAATCTTACATGAATTATTTGACTACATGATTTTAAAATCATTCCTTTAATATTAATAGTGTCATTATTATCGTCTCATATTAAAACCCTGTTCGTTCGATTTGCATACAAATAAATTCAATAATTTATGATCGGAGAAGAATGACATTGATTTATCCTTTGATAAATATTTTTAGTGTCAGATCTAAAACAAAAAATTGATGAAGTTTGTAAATATGGTACAGTACTGTTCAATATTTTCGTTTCTCTTATACATAGGAGTATAGGAGATTATGTATATCTTCTCAATTTTTATAAAAGAAAGTCGTGTTAGTTACGCTATTTATAATTTAAGAACGGGTGTACTGATTGGTCTGAAAATATGTGGGGAGGTAGCTTAGAACCAGAAAAAGGACGTAGGAAACTTTTGTATTTATTCAATCACAAAAATATTCTTAAAAAATCTAAAATCTGTTTATTTACTGCCTCTAAATAGAAAAGGTTCGCCTGCTCAGCTTTACTTCTGATTATAAAACAAAAGCGAACAAAGTCGCGGACAAAAGCTAGTAGTCTATACTTCTATAGGCACTTCAGTTATCATTGACATTTCTATCAAATATACTAAATATTTGATAGATAAGAGGATCTTATACATTTCATACTTAAAGATGTTGTATGAACAGGCATTATTTGACATAAGTCTTCATCAAGTATCCAAGATGAAATGTGACGTATACAACTATTACAAAGAAAAAATAAAAGAAACTGATTCGTTCTTAAAGTCATCATCTCATTAAAAAATACAGATATAAAGACAATATATATGTACATATACATATCTATCTACAATATTTTACTAGGTAAGGACTTAGGTAAACTTTGTCTTTAATAATTCAAAAAACTGTAATTTCCTTTTTTTTTTCTGTATATCGACCCTTAAGCGGCTCACGCTTGACAACTTTTATTAAAATGTGTAAGTCCCTCGCTACCTATAGATGAGAATACCTAGATTATTCGGGGAATTGAATCCCTGATATAAAAGATTTTTCCTCCAATATTGGATACTGTATTATAAATATATGTAGCGTAATAATATATTTTATCAAACACCATTCAAGTTTGAAATACATATTACATTTTATATACTTTAGATATTACAATTTTATTATCCTATCTACGAAACGAAATAAAAAGTAGGACTATTTAAATACAAACATATATAGAAATATTCCTAGCGTGTTTTTGATGATTGAGGAACAATACTCGGTGTAATTTTCAAATTAACAATATTAGAATGTCAATATTCACCAAAACGAAATTTTTACTCTAACAGATATAACTTGACGCAAAAATTAGAACAACGTAGAGAATCGTTTGAAGCGATCTCTTGAAAGAGTTATAAATATTTTCAACTTCATTAACGTCCGTAATTTCCGACTGTGACTGTGATCGTGAATGTATCTTTAATAGGTTATTATAAAGTCAGTGAGTTCAATGAGTTAATGATTCCGCATTGCATTAAAGTTACCAGCGGAGGTTGTGTCACGGCCGGCCGTTGGCTTAAAACACGTGAAAAATGTTTTCATGGGACCCGATGATTGTTGACTTCCTCGTATTTAATTTGCATTTACATTTAATGCTCATTATGTATGAATGAGATATATGATACTTTTTATGAGTAATGAACGGGAAAGATTTTATGTTATCACTGACACATACAAGAAAGCTTATTACTTTTATATCGGGATAAAAATTATTTTAATATTCCAATATGTTATAAAGACTGTATGTTTGTTTATAGTTCCTACTAAAGTTCTAAACTGCTTTCTATATAGGTAGTGTCAATATGATTTTCTGTTTGCTTCGATCTATTTTTATTACATTTAAATATTTATATCTCTTGAACATACTCACTGCAAAAACGTCGACCGGTAAAGTCGTAATAAAAAACTTAAAACAAATAAACGGAAACTTAATCATAGTCTATATTTAATAACTTTTAATTAATTAGTAAATGTTATATGATAGCTGGATTTGAGTAAAAATTAAATAACTTTAGTCTGGAACACCAATAGACAGTTTTACTTAGAAATTAAACTCTTACAAGGTTTTAGAAACTCTTCAATATATTAAAATAAAACCCACAAAAGAAGGTTTCTTCATTAAAACAAGACATTCAATGATATGATAAATGTTTCTCCTGTTTTCACCTTCAAATGAATAAGGAGTTACTTTTGACTTCCAGGAAATGTACATCTAGGAAGTCAATATGCATACCCTTAATAATGATGGTGTTAGCTATTAAATAATAATAAAACTTGCATATGAAGATCATTACTTTGTTTCCATTTGGATTTGATTACATTGTGTGAACAAGTACACACACATTGATACACACACGCACACATACATACATACTACTAAATGAAGTATGAAATTAACATAAATAAATATATCTATATAAATAATCCAATATAAAATATATCGAATAATATACAACAGAATGTAATTATCTAAATTTAATTTAAATTATTTCAATAGTACATTCAAAATATTTAATTAGAATCAGAAAAAAAAGAAATCTCATTACGCAGAACAGAAACTTTATTCCTATTAGGTTGTTCATTTGTACCTAGTTAATTGATAATTGACTCTCCCAGTTACACTTGCTTGCTGTACTACTGAGGTATAATGACTGAGAATATTCCCAAGAAATTCAAGGACTTCAAGTAGAGCGTGACGATATAATTTGCGAACTTCATAATAAACTAGCAGTAACAACACTTGAGAACGAATGTTGAATTGATATCTTTTACATTATATATAGTTAGATATAATTTCGGCAGTACTTCCACTTAGAAATTAATGCACCGCAACTCGTAACAGAATCCCCAGTCTAACACTTGCATTATATTTATAATATTCAAAGATAATCATCAGAACTATCATAAGAATACCCAATTAATAACGTTAAACTTACAATTACAAAGTGTATAAATAATTATTACTAACAATACATTTAAGACTGATTATAATAAAAGTATTTCAAACTTTAATAATAAAATATATTATAGAATATTGTTGCTCATTTTAAAAATAAATTCCGTTTTACAACAAAATGTTAATCCCTGTAGACCGATAGTGAGTTGAACCATAAATCTATTTAGATAAATGTGATGTATACATGAAATAAAAAGTGGTTGGATGTTACAAAAGCTGTTGTTTTGTTTAAAAAGATTTATATATTATAAGTATTTTTTATATATTTTATTTATTTATAATATTGTCATCGAGCCAACACTAACTATATAAATGTTTAATTGTTTTGTTTTTCCTCAACTTTTATAAAAATAAATTTGTTTATAGACACATTCGCGTAGATATGACTCAGCCGGCACTAATGACAAATATTATAGGAATTTTAAGTAAAACTAAATTTAAGATTAAATTCTTTCCTTGTTTATAACCACCAGCTTTTATAATATATGTCTAAAAATATATTATGTTTAGGTCACACAAAACAATTCTAATAAATACATTAAAGTTTATCTATTCGTGACGTACAAATATTGAGGTGCATAATACTTTTGCACGCGACTCTACGTGATACATTACATGAGATATCTAGTTTTATAGAGGTGTAGGTATGTGGAAAAAATATTTCTCATATAATAATAATAACTTCTAAGTTATGCATTCCCAAACAGGGTTGATGTCAGGCAGGCGGCCGGTCGTAAAAACAATTAGCCAAAACTATTCATAGCGTGTAAGGCAGACCCTGGCTAAAGCTGGGAAATTGCCAGGCAGAAGAAGAAGAATAATAATAACTTCTAAGAACGGAAGAAGTTGTGGGTAGCTGTTGATTATAATTATGCTTAAATGTTGATAACATTTCTATAATACACTTGCACATGTTGTATTTTTTGTTATATTTTTGCATATAACCAAAAACCCTTCCGCTATAAAATATACTTACCATACCATTTTACGTAAGAGCAAGTTTTCCAATAAGTTTTTTCATACATATTATAAAAAAAAAGATGCAAACACAAATCATACAAAACATAATGGCATCGTATTTTTTATGATATGTACAGAAATCAACAGTTTTTATTAACACTTAAGTTACAGTATGTACATTATTGTATTTGGAATTAAATATTTTTCTTAATATCAATCTAAAAATCATTATAACAATAAAGTAACCATTTTAATATCGTATTAAAGTAGGAAATCAAGGGGGACTGTAGTAATTGAATTCGGAAGGTCATTTCTCGCGGTCGTTGACCTTTCACTATTTATATGTTTTTATTAAGCGTTGATTCAACCTTGTACAAAGTAACACTATTAGACAATACATTGTTTCTCTGTTTGAATACATACAATAATTGCCTCTGACTTTATTTAACATGAATAAAACAAATAAATAAGACGTATAAGAATTGTAAATCTGCTAATATATTATGTTGCAAAAACCGTTTATAGTGTACATACATTAATATAAATAATGTTTTTGCTCATTAAAATCATTTATAAGTATTTGAAATGTAAATATATATTTTAATATTCATTTAAAAACACTTCATTTATTTTTATACTACTCGGTTATAATGACAATTCATGTAACATTATAAAAAGCATAAAACAAAAAATATATAATTATATACCTATATAAATAAGTGTACATATCTTTATTTCAAATAACTATTACATTTATAATAATATTGGATTCAAACGAACTTTTTATTTGGATATAAGTGAAAATATCACCCGCTCACAATTTTAAAAAGTATTTTATAATTTAATTTGTTAGTATTAAGATGGGTCCGAAATAAATAGTAGAAATTAATTTAGATTTAATAAAAAATATTTATTCACATTTGAACCAGAAACTATTGAGTTATTAAAGTTCTAGATTGAATCTTTTTCAACAGCATTCATTTAGATAGAACAGATAGAACATATTTTGATAAAAGCGTATAAAACAATATTTATTTTTATATGCACGTCTATAGTATTTGTCTGTCTGTTCTTAATTAACTTAAATGAAATTGGATGAAACTTTTCAAAGTAATAGTTAAAATGTAGGGATGTTACGGTGCTTCCACAGCGACTCTGTTTAGTCGGAACTTCTGACTATTTATTTTTACAACTTCGGTTTCTACATAAAAGTGTCCGAGCAGAGATACTTTTAAATCGGAGATTTTAATCGGAGGTCGAAGCAGAACATAGCGTTATAAACACCTTCATACATGCATGTACGCTGTATCCTCAATTTTTTTTTCAGATGCTATAGTGACACGTTCGTAGGTTATAATTTTTTTTGAGACTAATTAAAAGTAATAAGTCTTTTGTATGGGAGGTTGAAAACCAAAATCAAGTTCTGTTTAGAACTACCTTCATGTAGTTAATTCAGATTAGGCTGAGTTTAAACTGTTTAAGAAGTCGTATTCAAGAAAGGGAGGTACGACAACTTGATTAAAATATCATTTAAAATAGCAATGAAGACGATGATAATAACATAATATGTTAAATAGAAAATCTCTCTCCTTACGTCTTTAAGTAAAAAAATCTCTACTACTATGATTTCTTCTTTCCGACTCCGAAAAATCGAATATAAAATTTCCTATTTCGCTCTCGGTTCCGATAAAAGGACATCCCTGGACCAATCCATCATCAGTTTATAGAATATTTTAAATCAGAATTTACCTTCACATTTTCCTCTTCAAATAAAAAAGCAATTCAACAGGAAATAAAATTTTGAAATGTTGTAATTTTTCAGCAATAATTGCGAATTATTTTAACTAATATTGTACACTTTCTTATAAAAAACTTATTTATGTAATATTTCTTGTCATGTAAACACAGCTTTACAGCAATCAGAGTAGGAAGCCGTGTATTCATGTGATTTTAGCTTGAAATTAGTACGCATTCAATACGCAAACAACTGAGAGTGGTTTATATAACTAACGTGTTCGTTAGTGGTTGGTTCAATAAAAATATATGTTCAGGAGATACGACGCCTTTGACGTACACACACACCATACCTTAAGATCGTCATTAGCAAGTATCTTGATATACGATGTAATACAAAGTCTATAAGAACAGAGAGTGTAATGATATAGAGCAGTCTTTCCCAAAGTGGTCGAAAAACCCTGTTTTGTGCGCTACAAGCCTAAATGAGAGAGACCCAAAAAAAATGGGGCGTTTTGTAGAGGCTTATGGGTGATTTGTATTTCATTTAGCTAGTATAAGTTGTAATGGTTTTTGAGAAGATGAAAAAAGTGGGGCGCTAATAAATAATTTGCTCTTAAAGTGGGCAGTAGACAAAATAAGTTTGGGAAACCCTGGTATAGATCAAGGTAATTCTGGAAGTTATTAATCAAAATTTAACGATAAAGCCAAGAATTATCATAATATTAAACAGTATTTATAATAATGGTAGGTATAACAACTTTCTTTTTTTACTAATACAAGACGAAAATAACATCCTATAAAAAGAAAAGATAAATGAGTGGATTAATGTAATGTTTGTTAGCTTTTGTTACGTTATAACAAAATATTTTGATACATTATGTAGGAGCCAAAAAAGATGAAACGAGTTTGTCGAGCGAATAATACATATTACTTATATTTCATACCCTGCTTCAGATTGTTAGTAATAGATATGATGGGGGATAGATTTTTTAAAACATTGACTTTACTTGTAATAGAATATTTAAAAAAAATGTAGTATATGAATTTTTTTATAAATTTTCAGTTTATCTCAATGATTTTATTCATTTACTTACGTATATAACATTAATTCTTGTATGCAGAATTAAGGTAAATTAAGCCACAGTTACAAATTAATGGTTATTACAAATACGTTAATGATATTTGATGTACATTTTCGAACACGATACATTAACCAATTTTCTTCTGTTATACATATATGTATGAATAGTATATTTTCCTGATTTTTACTCACCATGATTGAGCCTGAACTTGAGATGTTTCTCCATGACCGATGGTTCAACGAGTAGTCCTATCTCATCCAAGGATAGAGCTGCACCAACGCTGCATCGGTCATCGGGACAGGAGACCTCATACGCACCGTTGCATACTTCGAATTCCACGTAAGCCTTCATGCACTGCCAAAGAAAGATATAATTTAAAATATTTACTAAACAGGTTCTTATTCAAAATAAATTTTTTCGGCGAATTCCAGTTAATTTAAATAGAGTTTACTTTTGATTGTCCCTACTAATATTATAAATGCAAAAATAACTCTGTCTGACTGTCTGTCTGTTACGCTTTCACGCCTAAACCACTGGACTGATTTTAATGAAATTTTGTACAGAGATAGAGTTGACCTTGAGAAAGAACATAGGAAAGTTTTTATCCCAGATTTATATTTTTGAAAGGTTCTCTTGGAAACGCGATATAACCGAACTCCACGCGGGCGAGGCTGCGTTCGGAAAGCTAGTGAATAATAAATTGAGAAGAATTGTATCTATATTAAAACGTGGCAGAATAAAACAAAGGAATATTTAATAGAAATATAATATAATGCATTCAAATAAATCATATTCCACTAACAACAAACAACTATAATAATATGTTATTTAAACGACATCTATTTGAATTGTAGTTTCAAGTAATAAAAGTTAATACTATGATGCTTGAAATTTAAATTAAAGTTTTAATTTAAAAAACAATTAACTTTAAATACATTAAGGCAAGTATTTAACAGCAGTTTAATCGTTTAGATGTCACTGACACTTTATAATGACGGTTGAGTTAACAAACACTTTAATATTAACCTAATCATGTTTTTTGATTACTACCAAAAATAAAATTGTATTTTTTATAACAGTTCTTACAGTACAAGTATTTTAAGATAAGTGAGAATAATCACACATACATGGAGAGACAGGGTATGTAGAAAATCATTCAGAAACAATGTCTGTTTTATACAATTGATGCATTGAATAGCTCAGAACGACAGTCTCTAAAAGTAAAATAAATAAAAAAATAACATCTTTAGTTTAGTTTTAGTTAAAAAATTCAGTTTCCCCTTTTGTTTAGAATTTTCATATAGCTACTTCTGTTTCACGAGAGCAATATACAAATCTCAACACTGTAACTAACAATGTTGGTTTTAGATGACTTATTGTAAATAAAAAAAACTAATAAAATATATGTTCAAGTACATATATGTAAATATAAGAAATATATAACAATATTCCTCATACTTTACATAAATATTAGATTTAAACAAAATTCCCATAAAATTTAAACATCTTAATATCTACAATGAATATTTCAAAAAAAATGGGAAGAGAATATTTATAGAAATAATATTAATTAATAATTAAACATACATTTTATATCAATTTTATTGAATATTTTTCTATTAGCAACAAGCATATATAATCTATGGAAATAATGTCATCTAGATTATATTTTTAGCTATTCATTTCAATAAAATATATTCCTAAGAATCTAAAGAAAATAAAAATATCAAATCATTAGATATAAATAACAATGATTGATCAACGTCAACAATGAATAGTCGATGACAAGAGAGAGAGAGAAAAAAAAACACGAAAACTATAAATCATATCAATTGAATACATTTATTTTTAATCAAGCTTAGATTACTATCAATGTTTTAATATGCTGTAATTATATCTGTCAGGTTACACACACACAGACCTATATAGCTAATAGTCTTATATATATAAATATGTGTATGTGTGTGTCTATAAATATTCGTCTTTGACATTTACCTATGCCTAATGTTCCTGGAATAATATTAAAATAAATATTACTTTTGAATCGTATAATGTATATTGTCTTTAAGTATCCGTCGCGTGCAATGAACCAGTTCGTAGGAATGATACTAATGCGGATAAATTACTGGATGATTCGGTTAATATCCGTTCTCGTGATCACTGACAATTGTCATTTCTTTTATTGTCATAATGATACTCTGTTATATGAAGCGTTATATACATTCTCTTTATAAAGTAGGTAAAAATATTTCAGTATAATTATAAACTGATCGTATCGTGTGGGAAGAATTATGAATGAAACTGTTCACTGTCTGGGTTGAGATTAAAGGCGAAAACTCTTTGTAATCACTTAGTATATTGTGAGGAAATGATTTAATTCATACCAGAACAATAACAGCGTAATTAAAAATACAGTTATAGAAATTTTATGATTGTATAAGGATAAAGATTCTACTGGTTTTAAATCACAAATTAATCAAAACTTAATCTTCCTTAAAGTTATCACACAAAATTTATTCCTATCAAAATTTCATTTATATAACAAAAACATATGGATACAAAAAAGCAACAAAATATTTCACGAAAGCAACAAAACGTTTGACAAGATAAAATATCACCCGAGACTACAAGGCCGTGAAAAATAACACTAAAAAATTGTTTCTGTTCAAGTTAAACCACAATAGATATAAAGAACCGTCCTTGAATAACAATAGAATATAAATATAATACAACGGGCTTAGGTGACGGAAATGAGAAACACGTGCTCCTTACATACAACTAACAAAAATAATAAGAACAAGAGAATCCTTAGGACAGATATATGTATGTATAGGATTAACCATAAACGGCTATGTTGGAAATGACAATCACTATACTATTAGAGACTTAGATGATATTGAAACGAATACATTTGTATAGTAAACGGTTTAAACTTGATATATTGTAGGATAAATTATATCGAAATCTTGAAAAAATTGTATTTATAGGCGAGACTCTAAAAGAACCAGCTCCATAATAATATACTGGTCAGGACGAACACAGAAATATCACGACAGAGATTAAACTTTATATAAAACTCGCGAAGATAGTAAAAACTTTCCTTGTTAACTTTAAAGAACACAAACTATATATAAAACAACTATGTAATTATATACTATTGTTATATACTAAAATGTTAATAAGTACATCACTATAGTTTTAATTAATAAAGATGAACAAATCTCAACTTATTTACTGAAAGAGTAAATAATAATTATTTAATTAAGGATTAATAGGTATCCTTTAGAATCCTTGCTAGCACAAACTGTACCAGGACAACATGACTGTATAGAACCATTCAGTGCTTTACCGAGCCGACCGCACGTAACAGATCTACATATAAGGTTAAATAAAACGTTTGACGTAATTCATAATGCTGTGTGCGGAATACGAACGAGGTGGGTTGTGCAAGTGTGCACGGACCAGTTGCTAAAACGACGGCGTTGTTATGCTATCCTAGTACTCGAAGCGCCCCGAATAACAGTTCAGAGAGAAAAGAGCAAAAAAAAAATCTAAAAAAATGTTTCTTTAGTTACATAATAAATTCTCAACTTAACCTACATTCGGTTATTATGGTTACGGTGGAACAGAAATTGTAAGGAAATTTTATTTACTTCACGCGAAAATAATTCTATGTACATTGAGAGGCAACCGTGACTCTAACAAGGTCTATTCATGTCAATTGAATAGAATCAAAATAGCAAATACTTGGGAATTTGCATTGGATGCTTGAAAAGGTTTTAAAGAAATTAGAGACGTTTTAATGTTGCATAAAGAAAAAGTTAGGAGAAAATATTAAGTGCTGCATGGTTATAAAAGTTGCATGTACATTGTTAGCTATCACGATATTGAGATGATTACAAACTTTGAATATTAAAGTTGATATTTAAATTATAAACAGTGATTAAAACTTTAGGCGAACAAACTTGTGTTATATATCAGAAGTTCAAATTCATTAATCCTGTATGCTTACCCACTGTTCGCATCGGCATACTACAGACAGGGCGTTAATAGTATTTCATTCATAAATCTTCACGTTACTGAATGAGAGGCGTGACACGCGTAGTATGTAGTGTGATTCAAACTTAGATTAAGTATACTGGTCGTTAAAGTGAAAGTTTTAGTTGTTCGTTTAAAAACGTTTTAACGTGACCAACATTTGACGAGTTGAAAAGGCTTTGTTATACAATGCACCTCTTTTAATAGATAACACTATTATTTGGATCAAACTGATATATTAATAGTATATTTTATTCATTTGGGAAGAAGATTGATAATTGAATTATATAATATAGTATGTAACTGATATTTATAGTTTTGTTGTTGAGGAAGACTGACATATTTTATTATCCCAAGCATGAATTTTCCTTATCAATTCGTACCAACAGTTATATATATAACTCTCATTTTTATAATACAAATGTAATATTTTCTATACCACTTATTGTCATGACATTTTTAATTAGTTTTCGATCATTATTCATATTCAAAACAATGACGAGAATAAAAAAATATGCTTTTTATTGTGTTGTTTTTTGTTTGGATTCAAACAAAGGTGATAGATAAATTAACAATACTTTATTGAAGTATTGCTTTAAAAAACTATATTTATAGTTTTAAATTAGTTAGAATGTTTATTCATAAAAGTATATATGTACAAAAAAACTTTTAACATTACTCTCTAAATCATCATAAAGGTAAAACCTAAAGTTTTTAACAATAATTAATATGAATGAATAACAGAACAGAAAATCATGATCAAATTAAACAATTATTATCTTTTAAAGAAATATGTATCTGTAGTCTAGAGTTTTAGAGGGACGCTCGCAAAATAATTATATAAAGTAAATGAACGTTAAATTTGATATCAATTAGATTGGGTCACTACGGATATATATATATATATATATATATATATGTATATATCGAGTATAATGAACCTGATTGATTTTTGTTTGTTACGGTTAAGGAATTTCTAAATGTTAGTTACATTTTATACAAAGCTAATGTAGCGAGATTATTCTCATACTATAAACAGAGAACAAATAGACATACATTCGTATAACGTACAGAATATATATTTTTTTGATTGGTTTTACGTAAGAGAGATATGAAAAGAATGATCTCATTTTATTTACGAAAAGTTAAAATAAATTGAGCGTTATTAATATATACCATATAGTATAAAATATCTATTTATTCGAGGTCCGTTCGAAGCTAAAGAATTGTGAGAACATTCAAAAGGTTTAATCGCCTATACGAAAATTTACCATAAATCGCGATGGTTGAAAACATTTGACGCTTTTCAATGAAAT